AATTTGCTAATAGGTACTAAGTCTTCCAGATTTTTAAGTTGATAACCATAACTTTGGAGGCATCCCCCACACTTTGCGATGCTCCCAAGTCAACCCTTTTGGCCAAGGATCCATAGCAATTGAGATTGGGTGTCCCCATCTTATTCACCACGTCCTTGGTGCCACTTGCACCAAAGTGTTTAAGTGAGATATGTTGAGCTTTCACACTAAACAATCTAATAGTGTATCACGACTCCGAGGCATCCCCTACTTGGTAATGTGCCTAACTTAGTCTCCTCACTAAGAGTCTATGACCACTGAAAAATGAGTGTCTTTATATTCCAAACTATCATTACGCCCTAGTGAGTTAGGACTCAAACCCAAGCATTAGAGGGTTGGGACTAAAACAGTTATTTCTTATGCCAACTATTAGTTAATACTACACCATAGTATTCACACACAACTCTGTGCCAAAATTTCTTTCTTCTAAGAACATCTTTTCCATAACTTTAGTATGGCATATTTTGCCATCAATGAAATATCTATTATCCTTATACTTGAATCTTATGATTCTCCCCATCTTTCGTGGGACATAACACACCTCAGTTCAAATGTTTCTACCAATCTCTTAGGACCATCCCTTGACTCCACTTGAGTCATCAAGCTTTTTGGACTTTGTTAATAAAATGACCTGTGAGGTTTTACTTTTTGAGTTGGTAGCTCGCTAAAATATAACTTCTTGTATTTATGTCCTACTGATAAGGACCATCTTTGCAAGTGTTACTCCGACACTTGATTATTATTTGTTCCATATGGGCTACTTTTGCCCCTTAAAACTATCTATCCATATGATGAGAATACTGACTCATCCTCTAAATACACCCCCAACTCTAGCATTTATAAAAGGTAGTCTTGGCTACCATTTCAAGGACTTGTATCCTCATCCGTATTTGATCTCCCACGGTCATTAATTTTAGTCTCAAATTTATAAACACAAGCCTCAACTATATAGGGATAATCTTGTGACTCCTTTATTATTTTGGAGTTTCTATTTTTCATGTGATCCCAACTATAGTTGTTTACCACAACTATATTAACCAGTTTGTTAAGTTAAATGCTCATCTGGATCATATCCTCAACTCTCTAAGGAAAATTTTATACTGTTCCCAAGATCCCAAAATCGTTCCTTTATTAGCGTTTTTCTATCCAACACCTTGTCTACAAGTTCATATATGAACTATAGTGGAGAGCCATGTCCTCCTGACTTGCTACTCCTCAAGGATAGACCCACTCCTAGGACCTTCCGATGCCAACATAAATGGTGATATACTTCAATAAAAATAAAAGTTAAACTAAGGAATAGCTCCGATATTAAATTGTAAGCGACTAAATTTTCCATTCTACTTTAGTCATTTAACCACACCTCTAACCACTTGGAGGAGCTTCACTCACAACCTCCATAAATTCTATTCCAGAGTTGGGGTTTGCTAGCCTTGGGAATGGCATTCATGCCACTCAACCTTTGCACTTGGTCCAAGTGCTCCACGTGTTCGATTTTATGACTGACACCAAAAGGTACTACCAACATATCACCTCGTTACACTAAGGCCATGCTTATTCAACTTTGTCACACCGGTGATCCAACACCACCTATATCACAATCCTATCTCTCAAAGACTGGGTAGTCCATCCATAAGTGATCATCCCAGATCCACTCTTTAGCATCCTTAGAATGCCTATAGATATGGAGGACAACCTTCCCTAATACCCCCTTTTCGGTCCCCACCAAATCCCTTTCTATCCATGGCCGTATTTGCTAACACTGCCATTGGATCAAGGTCCATAGGCCTAACCATTAAGTCCCACTATCCTTTAGGAGTTCCTCACCATGTGACTGTATCCTCAGTCACTACACCAAAGGATTGCTCCTCTTCCTTTCCATAGTTTAGGATTTTAGAACAACATTTCAAAACACTATGGCCCTATGCGAGCCTCACGAGTACTCTCTCTACCTTTCGCCTTTGGGTGTTCTAGCCATAAGGGTGGAATGAGGTTTTATTGAGCCATGTTAAGTATTGAAGTAATTAGTGCCACCCATGCTTGGATTAGGAGCATCGACCATTCGATCTCCTAGGGGAGCTAGAGCCGGCTTTTGAACACTTCACCAAGCTACCTCATTTGTTTGTCTATATTCACTTTAGTTTTAGACTCTTTAATGAATATATTATCACCCAACACATGGGCATACCCTTTCTAGGTCACATTAGCCTTTTGTAAGGAACCAACTTGCCAAGGTGTCGTAGGCTAAAGGATCCCCGAAAGCATGACCAAAATGACAAAGAGTTCATCAGATGAGACTAAGTCGAAAATCGAGTCCAAGACCAACTCTAAGACCGAGTTCGAGATAGAGTCCGGAATCGAGTCTGAGGCCAAATCGGAGACCGAGTTCGAGACCGAGTTCAAGACAGAGTCCGAGATCCAAATTGGGTCCAAGACCGAGTCCGAGTCCGAGGTCGAGTCCGAAGTCGAGTCCGAGATCGGGTACGAGAACTAATACGGGTCAAGGGGTGAAAGCCTAAAGCGTGCATCTCCCAGGGGGGGGGGGTGAGGGCTGCAAGGGGTTCCAAAAGTAGAGTAGGGATAGTGAGGTCCAGGAACCAGTCTTGAAGGAACTCTCCAGTGGTGCTTCCAAACTGACTTAAGGTTGAGACTGGGGCTGAGGGACCTTGGGTGGGAGTGAACAGGGACTTGGGTGGTGCCGGAGGGGCCACCCCGGGAAGTGCTCAAGAGCAGCTCCTACTCCCGAAAGGGAAACCGACTACGATGCTTCCGGCTCATGTGGAGTGGTGCCCCACTTGAGTACCATGTGGCTCATTGGTCCTCACCCTTCCTAGGGGCTTGGGCCTTCCTTCGGGATGGAAGTGGGGGGGTAGAGGTATCCATACTGGGTCGTTAAGCCATGGTGTTTCGCCCCGGCGTCCCGAAACAAGTGTTGCACCCAAGACTTGGGATTTAAAGGGTACCATGATCAAGTTTTATGGTACCAAGGGGTGTTAAGAACCTGGAGGCTTGGTGTGCTTGGTTGCTTGTGCCTACGGGGAGTGTAGCTGAACCTTAAGTCTAGTCTAACCCGGGGAGGGGGATTGGGAGAGATTTGGGAATCTGTGGATGGATGGCTAATGCTCCGTTGCTCGTGTAGTGAGTAGCTGAAACCAAGTAGGAGCTGATACCATAGGCGAGAACCTTGGCGAGGGAACTTAGCAAAAGCTAAGGCAATGTTAGATGGGTAGACGAGGTAAGTTAGCAAATTGGAAAGGAAAAATTTGTGGCTTACACCTTTTCTGGCCAAATTGGCTCCATTGGGGTCCAACCCCCACACTCTCCCTACTATACTTTTGGAAACCCCCCACTTAGGGGACGATCACTTTGGGCTTTCACCCAACAATCTATATTAGTATTCGGACTTGGACTTGGACTTGGACTCTATTTCAGTCTTGGTCTCAATTTCATCTCAGACTCCATCTCAGACTCCATTTCGGGTCTATCTCGACACTTCCATATATCATATGTTGGTCCTCTTATGTTTTTTTTCTAGAGACTCACTTATTGCTCACTTCAAGTTTGTTCCTTGAGCCCTTCGTTGAGAGTTCCACTCCTGCTCTTAATTTTTTAAGTTAAAGCTTTTAGTTCAAACATATTACACTCATTTGGCTTTTATTTTGGCAATTACCATGTGGCACCCTTTCAGCTCCACTTTGGGGCTTAGGGATTTGTGTCTCACAATGCTCTTATAGAACTAAGCGCTAAGAAACCAAATGGCACCACAAGTAAGAATCACTATCCTAATTCAATTAGATCATGATCCCATACTAAAACACAAATGTGGAGCATGAGGGAACCATATGTGATGTTATTCTCGTCCAAGCTATGCTGGATTTTTGCTGTTTCTAATATTTATTTTATAAAAAGATATTAAAAGAATTTTAGTTTTTATATTTTACTCTATGTGTTTATACTCTAAACTATCTTTATAAATATCCTTAGTTTTATGTTTTACTTTCATAATAAGTATTTCTTATAGCTTATATCATAATATGTATTTCTTACAACTTCATTATAATCTACTAATATTGTGTTTAATGTTTCTATGTTTTAATTTAGGATTATCAGGACGAAAACTAACCATTGGAAACACTAATGTTTTAACTCCAGAAGATATGGGTAAAATCATTGGAGCTATGTATAAGTTAATGGGGGATGTTTATGGAAAACAAAGTTATTCAACAGATTATTCAAATAATATTGAAGTAGAAACAACAAAAGGTATTTTTGATGTAATATTTGAATGTAAAGAGGATTGTTTCAAATCTGCTACTATTGGGGGAAATAATATAATTACTGCTTTAAGAGTAATTATTGATAATTATTTAGATTTTATGAATGAGAAACTTTCAGACTTTTTTCAAAAGGAAACTAATAAATTTGTATTAACATATAAACTAAAAGATAACTCAGAAACTCTATCTATGCATCTAAATAAAAAAATTAGTATAAATGATTTATCTTTTTGTATATTAAGAGCTACCAGATTATATTATGATTCAGTTATGTATACTGGTGATTTTATTTACTCCAAAGGTTTTAAATTTGTTTTAATTTTAGAAGTAAATTGCAAACTCTCTCTATATAAGGGAAAAATAAAAATCTGGGAAATAACATCTAGGAAGAGAAATATTTTTAATTGCTATTTAAAACTGAAAAATAATGGTAAGTTAGTTTTGTATCATTATAATGAAGATGTATGGGATAGTCATAAATATTGTGAAAATTGTTTGTTATCAACATATTTAAATGTTTCAAATGATTGTGCTTTAAATATTCATCTATTAAAATATCCTAATAGAATTTATTGGACAAATAATATGAAGTGTGAATAATTTGATTTCTAATTTGCAAAATATGTTTTTACTTTAAATAACATCGCTAATCAATACTTTTCGAAATAACTTTTTCGTATGATTTAGCCCTAACCCTTTTAGCTCTTCCTGAAAGGATCGAATCAAGGTACGATGAAATTCTTCTCGGATTCATGATTCATGATGGATGTTTGCACCAGGCGACGATGCCCAAGAGCTTCGCCTTCGCTCTCTACTTCGACGCCGCGCTAGAGAACCAAATCCTCGAGCTCTGGAACGTCTTAGCCCGGAGGAAGATAACCTCCCTGCTCATTGACAGCGGCAGCCGACCTCACATGCGTCTCAGCCTCACGACCGCCGACGACTTGGAGCTCCCAAAACTCCGGACCACTGTCGAGAGCTTCGCCGCGCAGGAGGGCCCTGTGGCCATCAGTTTCTCCGCCGCTGGGGGCTTCTTCACGGACAAGACCTCCCTCTTCCTCACCCCGGCCCCCACAATCCAGCTCCTGGCTTTCCACGACCGCTTCCACGAGCTTCTCCAGGTGATGGGAGTCGAGAGCTTGGATGTCTATCAGCCCGGGAACTGGTTCCCTCACTGCAGTGTCGCCCAAGAGCTTCCCAGGAACCGGCTGGCGGATGCCTTCGCTGTGTTTCAAGAGTTGAAGCTACCTCTAACGGGCCACATTTGCGACGTTGGCATGGTGGAGCTCACTCCCTTCCAGGAGTACTGTGCTTTCTCTTTGGACGGCGATATGTGCTAGAGGTTTCTTTCTCTCCGGGAAACTCTTTTTGTCTGTCCGTCCGAGAGCCACAGAGCGGCTGCAATGTGTCAGTAGTACACAACGAATCAATCAAACCGCGACTTCTCTATATGTTTCCTTCCTCGTCCTCGTCCTCTTCCTGTGCGAGCTCTATCAGCTTCTCTGTTGGCACGGAAATGATCTCTTCTTTCAACTGGGCGTCGACATCAACATCGTCTTCTTCTTCATCATCCTCCTCCTGAACGAACGAACGAACTGTTCATCAAAACAGACCCATCCAACATGCGTGTAAAGTTCTTACCTCTATATCTTTGTCGCCAATGTCAATAGCTGCGGCCATTTCTTCCACAACTGCTTCATCCTCCTGGAATTCAAGAGCCATCAATCAAGAGCTGCTCGAAAACGGAAAAGAAGCTCACCTCGGCCCTTGCGGCTGCAGCTTCAAGTCGTTGCTGCTGCAAAGCCATTATGCGGTTGTGTTCAGCTCGTGTTTTCATCCGACCACCCTGCATGAATGTTCAAAAGGAGGATAAGCCAAAATGCAAGTCAAAAGTATATCTTACTGTACCCGTACCCGTATCAAGTGTTCTATGAGATTTGGCCTTGGCTGATGGAAATTTGGCCCTCGGTAATCTGGAATTTCATCTGGTTTTTTTCTGTAATTTATAGTTGGATAGACAGGATCGCCACCAAAAACTGAAACAAACCAGCCAACGACCGAATCAGGTGAATCCAAGAAACGATTTTGTAACTCACCGGATCTTTTCATCTCTCGCGTCGCACGCATCACAAGTGGATCTCTTCGGATTCGAACATCAGTACCCATCATTTGTCGATATTCTCTCTGAGTCTGGCAAGCCAACATATTCATCAACTGCAAAGCCACGTCTTCTCCCGTTTCCTCGTAGTGCTTCTGAACAGCTTCTTTCGACGTATCCTTGTCCCACGCTTTCACCCATTCATGATAATATGCCATTGCCCCTATTTCGTCCCTCCGTTTCGCTTCCGCCGCCAACCTGAAAGTTTTGTGTTAATTTTACAGCCAGCACAAAGAGAAATTTTTGGCAAGGTAGCTCACCTTTCCTCTTTGAACACGAATTTTCGAGCACGATAAATGTGCGTCTCTGTCACAGTTGGCGTGTCTCCGAACAACTTAATCTGTCCTGTCAGTGCCGCCATAGCTGCCATTGTCTACATACAAACGTACAAACGCAAGCTCGAGTGTTAGAGAAAGTTTGCAAGTGGAGAACTTACGATATCAGGAAGCCCAGGACGTTTCTGGAACTCACTCCAGACGTGCTCATCAGGCCGTCGGTTCTTCCAGTTCCACCATAGCTCGTCGTTTGTCAGCGGAGGACGCTCGTCCTTGGCGACCTTCCTGGGCTTGTATGACGAAATAAGCGCGTAGCATTCTTTGTCCGGGAAGTTCATGTCGACGACATCAAGGTCTCCTTCCTGTTTTTCTTCGTCTTCCAACTCGTCTTCAGCTTGATCATCGTCTTCCTCCTCTTCACTCTCGTACACAACTTCCACGTCGGCCATGTTCTTACCTTCAATCACCTTAAGCTTCTCCCCCTCCATGATTTTCCATCTATCATTTTCTTTCTTGCTCTTTCTTTTGGTCCGCGCAACAACCGCCTCGGCTTTTGTCCCATCTCTGTCATCAACAACTTCAACTTCCACCGCTGTAGCTTCTACAACTTTCCGCTTAGGTGCTGCCCTTTTCTTCTTCGGTTTTTCAAGGGGCTGTTCATCCGAGTCCCTGGGAGAAGCTGCTGCCGATGCTCGAGATTGTCGCTTCGTAACTTTCGGAGTCACAGCTTCTTCTTCTTGCTTGGGTTGAGCCGAAGGATCATCAGCCTTCTTCCGACGTCTCGGCTTGGGCTTGGGTGTCTCAGAAGCGTCAGCACCACTACATCGTATAACCAGCGGTCTTCGAAATCCACCTCGGAGAAGGCTCTACAAATGAAAAACGCCACAAAACCAAAACTGAAATAGAAAGGAAAATGTAGTGTACCGTGGAGAAGCTCAGTCTCAAACGTGGAAGAGAGTAGTGGCCAATGAGCTCTGCAACCTCCAGAATTAGACGAAATCGCGTTCTTCAATGCTGCCTACCACCACTCACCTGAGCGCCAAGTGCCTGTGCTCACAATGCCAGCTACTGCCGCCATGCCCGCTCGCTAAAACCATCCATAAACCCTAGCGCACGACTCGTCCTTAGATTATAGAGCAACTTAATTCTTCTTACCTCATGTTCGTGCATGCATAATCTCCGCATTGTCCAGGAACTTGGATCTCAGCTCCAGCAATGCGCCAAAACGCGATCGCTGCTCCAGGGCAAGGAGCTCCACCGCGAAGTTCACAAGAATGGCTATGGCGCTCACACATTCGTCGCGAATTCTCTGATCCAGATGTATGGCAGCTGCCAGTGCCTGCAAGAAGCCCGATCAATCTTCCACAGCATCCGCAATCGAAATATTTACTCGTGGACAATCTTTCTTGTCGCCAGTGCCGAGAATGGGGATCTCGATCACGCCAAGATTGTCTTCAACAGGATGCCGGCTCGAAATCTTGCATCCTGGAACGCTCTCATCGCTGCCTGCGCGCGAAACGATCAGTGCCAAGACGCATTGGAGATTTTCTACCGGATGAGCCTGCAGGGAGAGCGTCCAGATGATCTTACCTTCGTCAGCGCTATCGATTCTTGCGGGATCTTGCGATCATTGCGAGATGGGAAGCTGCTCCACGAGCAAACCCTCGAGGCCGGCCTTGTCCACAACACCGCTGTAGCGAACACGCTGATCACAATGTACGGAAAATGCCAGCGTCTGGACAGCGCTTGGAGCGTCTTCGCGGACATCCCCAATCCAGACGTTGTCTCTTGGACAAGCATCGGCACAGCATTTGCCAGGAACGGATATTTCGATCGATCGCTGGAGCTCTTCCAAGAAATGCCCGTGGCGAAGAATGTCGTCTGCTGGAGCGCGATCATCACCGCCGCGGCGCGATGCGATCGCCACAGCGCAGCATTCCAGCTCTTCCAGGTGATGGATCAAGAAGGCGCAAGACCTAACACTCTGATCTATTTGACGCTCCTCCAGGGAAGCCATTCCACCTCTACGATTAGGGCGATACACTGTACGGCCGAAGAGGACGAAGAACTGGCCAGGGATTCGAACCCCGCCGTGATGAACGCCGTACTCTCTGCGTACGGCAGGTACGGAGACCTGGCCAGATCTTGGGCCGTGTTCTCGCGGATGGAAAGAAGAGATCCAATCACCTGGAATTCAATCGCGACTGCTTGTGCGCAATCTGGAGATTTCGATGGAGCGATGCGTGCGCTCGAGAGAATGCCGCAGTGGGAGATCTCGTCGTGGAACATAGGCATCGCGGCAATTGCCAAGGGTGGCGCGACGGCGTCGGCGATCTCTTTCTCTTTCCGGATAAATCTCGAGGGAATCAAGCCCGACGGCGCCACATTCATCGCGCTGATCGATTCATGCGCATCGCCCAATTCGCTGCCGGATGCCAAGAGGATCGCGTCGTGGATCGGCGACAGCGAATTCTGGTCGGATCCGCGGCTCCGGGACGCCACGATCGACATGTTTGGCCGATGCGACGACCTCGACACCGCCAGGGCGATTTTCCTTGAGAATCCAACCAGCGCCGCGGGGTGGGCGAAGATGGTCGCGAATTACGCCCGAAATGGGGACTCCCGGACAGCGATCAATCTCTTCAAGCAAATGGATCTCGAGGGAGTCAAGCCGGTCGCTCTGGCATTCGTGGGCGCGATCGCGGCGTGCTCCAATTCCGCGGCGCTGGGCGAGGGCGAGGCAATCCACGCGTGCTTCGAGGAGGAGGAACACGCAGACCGCGAAACAGAGCATGGCCCAAGTACGGACATGGTCCACAACGCGGCCATCCACATGTACGGCCGCTGTGGATCCTTGGGCCGGGCAGATTCCCTCTTTCGATCGCTGCGCCGCCAGAGCGTCGTGTCGTGGACTTCCATCATCAGGGCTTTCGCGAGCAACGGGCGCGTGGATCTAGGGTTTCGCCTCTTCCGCGAGATGCAGCTCCAGGGGACGCCGCCCAGCGCGGTCACCATGGCGGAGCTCCAATCCGCGTGTGCCCATCTCGGCCTCCTGCGCGATGGATTGGACTCGCTCGCGTCCATGCTGCTCGATCACGGCATCGCGCCCACCGCCGAGAACTACGCCTGCATTGCCGATCTGCTCCGCCGATCGAAGGCCCAGGAAGACGAGGACGGGGAACTCTAGCGCCAGGGCCAGGATCGAACCCTGGCAGTGGAGTTTTTCATGATTAAATACACATCACATCAGCTTGAAATGGACTCGAGAATGAGAACCACAGATCGGTATGACGCTATGACACGATTGACGTGAGCAATTGGCTTTATATCTTATTCCCGGGGCACATGAACAGAACACATTGGAAACCATTTTTTCTTTCAAAAAAAAAAACAAAAAAAAGAGAGGAGAATATCCGGCCTTTGGGCGGGAGAATATCCAACGAGAAGAAGTGTACGGGACACCTACCGTACATGCCAATAAATGCCTCGTCAACTGACGGGGCGTCGAATGACGGGCGCCTCTCCCTAGGGCATATTTCACTGACACGACAACGGCCCTTGGATTTACCGGTCCAGAGATACACCGGCGAGGTTTCCCTTTGGTAAAAAGTAAATTACCTCCATTGCCATGGATCAATCAATGATAATCGAAGAGCGTTCATGGAGGTAAAAAGGCCGTTGGAAAGGTTTCCAACAAAATATAAGTTGGCAAAAGGCTGGCAGTTGCAACGCTTCCGTACGGTTCTTCAAACCCGCCATGCAAAAGAAAAGAGAGAAAAGGTGACGCAGAACATTCATATATCATAAAGGGAAGCGAAGAATTAGGGTTCCCTGCGCAATCCAGTGTCGCTTTTGTACTTTTTAGAAGGGCCAATGCGTTGGAATGGGTTGGATTCTTCGAAGTAAAAGGAGCGATTAAAATTGGAAATTTCACCGCCAAGGGAGCGTGAGAGTGAGGCCCTTCTTCTACATCGCCCGCAAAGATACCCTCCAAGCTCGTGTTTTTGTCTTTGATACAACTAGATTCCACGGGCATATGCCGCACCGGGAAACATTCCCCCCACTACCGTACGGATGTACCCGGCGACGGGCGGTGACGGGTGGTAACGGGCGCCGGCGGCCCGCCAGCCGGCGGGAAAACCCTAACCGGCCACCGGGAAATGCCACCGGTAACATTAACTTGCTCTGTTCTTTTGCTTTGGCCCTTGGAATTTTTTTTTTCTTCTCTCGTGGCATTTTGGAGGACACGAAAACACAGTGGCGAGCTCCAAATCTCTGCTTCTCCGGAGGATCGCGTCTATTTTCTCGCAAACAAGAGAGAGAGAGAGAAGGAAGAGCTCTCGCGAAAGGAGAGAGAGTTTTTCTTCCTTCCTTTGTCTCGCCCTTTTTCCCCCTTGTGATCCCCCCATTCCATTCCATTCTCTCTCTCTCTCGGAGCCTCGGATCCACGGTTGAATCTCCGGCGGGGACTGGGATTCGCGCGAGAGAGCAGTGAGATTCGCGGGCTGGCTAGGCATTGGGCATCTGGGTCGCGCGAGGAATTGGAGGAGCGAGCTAGAGGAGCAAGCTAGAGGGCTTCCCTCTCATGGGTTGCTTGTGCCAGGCGCTCACTCCCAGGTAAGCCATAACAGCAAGGCAAGGAGGAGCCGCGCGAGCGATGCGAGAGAGGGAGCCAGGTATGGCGGCATTGGAGCCGCCGCGGCATCGTCTCTCCTCCTCCGCCACCGTGATCACACCATGACGACGCCGCCGCTGGAATGCCAATGCTGATGAATCCCAGCTCGCCGCCAATGTGAGTGGAATCGCCCCGCAGCTCCTCCGCCAGCCCCCAATCTCGTCGATGCCTCCGCCGCCGGGATTCCCCGTGGGATAGGGATTTGTCCTAGGCTCCTCCTCGCCGCCGCCGCGCGCCTCCTCTCCTGGCTCTACTGGGTTCCTTCTCCTCTCTATCCAGGCGGCCTGGCTCTAGACCAGTACCTAGAGAACCGCCGGCTGGCGGTACCGCCGCCCGCCGCCAGCGGCATAAGGCCCTCGCCTGGCGGTATACCGCGCGGTACGCCGTCCTCACAGTTTGGGATCCTAGCCAACTTATCAAACTTGTCCTCTTCGGGTGGAGCTTTCCATAGCGGCAGCAATCCTTCTCCCAGCTCGCTAAATTATGCGCTGCTTGGATCCAGCGTAGATGTTCTCAGCCCAACTTCTTCCTCCGGGAACCTTGGAAATAATCCATCCGCCGCCGCCGCCACCGCCACCACCACCACCTCGAGCGCGAGTTTGCTGAGGAGTTCCTCGTCGAGGCTCGAGCATGATCCGGGGCTGGCCAACTTCCAGCCTCCAATGCAGCTGGTTTCCAGCGCTGCGCAGGAGCAAGCCAGCGGCGGGGCGGTGGTGGGAGGTGGCGGCGGGGGTGGCGGAAGCGGTGGTGGAAGCGGTGGTGGTGGTGGTGGCGGTAATAATGGTACGTCGACGATCACCACCATGCAAGACCATCACCAGGCGGCGATGGCGGCTGGGGGTGTGAAGTTGGAACCGGTGGAGCCGCAGACTCATCATCTCCACCAGCAAATGTTACAGTCGCAGCAGCACCACCAACAGCAAAACAGCGTTTTGATCCCGAAAGTGGAGGTGAAGCTCGAGGAGGAGCTCCACCAGCAGATGCTCCAGCAGCAGCAAGCCCGGCAGCAGCAGCAGCAGCTCCAGGCTCATCTCAGCCTCCTCAACCAGCAGAGATTGCTCAAGCACCACCAGCAGCAGCTGCTGCAATCGCTGCCTCAGAGCCAGTCTCATCTCCACCAACGCCAGCAGCACCTCCAGCACTTGCAACAGCAGCAGCAACAGCAGCAGCTCCAGCATTTGCAGCAGCAGCAACAGCAGCAGCAGCAGCAGCAGCAGCTCCACCAGCAGAACCAAAGCTTCGTCGCGAGTTCTTCCTCATCGAGCAACGCCCCTCCGCCGCAGCACTTCCTGGCTCTTCAGCTTAAGCAAGTCTACGAGCCTGGCTCTTGCTCGCGCCGTGTCATGCAGTATATCTATCACCAAAGGCATCGGCCTCAGGTACTCCACTCTCTTTCTCGCGGAGTTCCACAAACATGGCAAGCTTTTGCAGGACAATAGCATAACGTTTTGGAGGAGATTCATCGCGGAGTACTTTGCCCCCCGTGCGAAGAAGCGCTGGTGTGTTTCTCTGTACGGGAATGGGAACAATGGCCGCCAGCCAACTGGTGTCTTCCCTCAGGTGAAAACTCTCAGGAGAATACTTCTTGACGTGACAAAACTCTGTTGGTTTCTCTCAGGACGTTTGGCAATGTGAAATCTGTGGAACAAAACCGGGTCGAGGCTTTGGTGAGTTCTTTCCTTGCTTATGTGTTTTGGAGTGTTTGTGATTTTCTTTCTTGTTCTAGAGACGACTGTGGAGGTTTTGCCACGGCTTTGCAAAATCAAGTATGACAGTGGCATCCTCGAGGAGCTCCTGTTCGTGGACATGCCTCACGAGTACCGCTTGGCGTCGGGGGTCATCGTTTTAGAGTATGGGAAAGCCATTCAAGAGAGCATCTTTGATCAATTGCGTGTTGTGCGGGATGGTCAGCTCCGGATAATCTTCTCTCCTGATCTCAAGGTAAGAAGAACAAATGAAAACAAACATTGAGAGGTGTAGTTATACTTGAATTGTTTTTCTTCTTGACAGATACACTCTTGGGAATTTTGTGCAAGGAGTCATGAAGAACTGCTTCCTCGAAGAATGATAGTTCCACAGGTTGACTTCTTCTTTCTTTGTAATCCGGAGTTCAAAGTTTTCGACTTGCAGGTGACCCAGCTGGCCACCGTCGCACAAAAGTACCAACAGAGTGTCGCGCAAACGGGAACTGCTGGACTATCGTCACAGGACCTACAAACAAATTGTAGCATGTGAGAAATTTTTTTCTCTTCCTTATTTTTGTGGTTTTTCATCCTTTGTACTTCATTCTTTCAGGTTTGTAACAAGCTCGCGAAATCTTGCAAGAAACTTGGAAGTTCCGACGGTAAATGACCTTGGCTATACGAAGAGATACGTTAGGTGTCTTCAGGTAAACTTTTGTATTTTCAATGTACGAAACTATATGAGAACTCGGGTTTTTTTGTTCAGATATCAGAGGTAGTAAACAGTATGAAAGATTTGATTGACTTCAGTCGAGAAAACTCTATGGGACCCAAGGGTACTTCCTACTTTCATAGATTGATTTTTACCTGTGACGATTGATTTCGGTTATCGCAGCGAGCTTGGAGATTTTTCCTCGTCGGACAAGCCTTGGGGGTGCCTCGACTACTATGGCTAATGGAAATCACCAGCAGCAGCAGCAGCAAACTTTGCTCCTCCAGCAACATCAACAGCAGCAGCATCAGCAGCAGCATCAGCAGCAGCATCAGCAACAGCAACAGCAACAATTGCAGCCGCAGGAGTTGCAAATCTCGTCAACTTCTCAAGAACACGATCACCAACATCAACTCATGAGCTCCTCCACCATTGCCCCGCCGAGACAACAACATAATCATCAACAACAACAACATCACGCACACCAACACCAACACCAATATCAACTCCAACACCAACAGCAGCAACTAGGAACTTCTTTACAGGGCCTTCTCGGCTCATTCCCTTCTCTACTCCACCAGCATCAGCAGCAGCAGCAGCAAAGTAATAGCGCTACGATATCTCCAGCTTCATCGCTCATCATCCCCAAGAACACCACCACCACCGCCAACAACAACAGCTTCCAGGCCGCGCAGATCCTCACGAGCAGCAGCAACCTCCAGAGCCCAACGAGCTCCGGAAACTTGATGAGCTCTCCTCCGGCAATAATGGGCAGTAACAGCGCCTCGATGCTCCAGCAGCAACCCAGCAGCCAGCAGCACCAGCAGCAGGATAGCGTCGTCCATCAGCTCTTGCAAGAGATGATGATGAACGCTGGGAGCAGCGGGATGATCTCGCCAGGGAATAGTTTGAGCCACGGCGTTGGGAACGTAAACGGTTTTGGAGCCTCGGTGCTGGAGAGCACGTCCAACTTGGGGATGGGCATGAGAAGTACACAGCAGCAAAAGAGTTTGTATATGAGTTCTTCGCAAGATCACAGTGGAGGAGTCCATGACTTAGCCGAGAACGGGATCTTGAGCAGTTTGGGAGCGGCAAATGGTTTTGCAAGCTTGCCGTTTGACTGGAAATCGCCGTGAGATAGTTGTAATACAAAGAGGTAAAAGGTAATAGCAGCGAAAAGCTGAGGGAGCCAGAGAGAGAAAGGAACTTCCCCTGTGAAAGAGAGACAGATTGATCGTAATTGTCAAAGTGTTCCAACATAGATAGTATTCCAACTCTATTACTAACATAATCATTGTTTCAAATGAAACAGAAAAATATAGTCCAAAAAAATTGTTATCTTTATTATCAAGAAATCAAAAAGTAAAATGATAGGAAGAGAGATCAATTTTTAATGTTAAACTTTATTTAATAAATAAACTTTAAAATTTAAAATAATAGATATTTAAACATTTAATACATTATGTGTGTAGCAAGATAAGTCTTTTTCAAATGTATGTGATAATGTTTAATTGGGAGAAGTTCATTTTGGAAAATTTAAATATTTATCATATTAACATATCCATAAAAAATTTACATTATAAATATTTACATTATTAATTATTATATCAAAACTAATGCTATACATTTTTATTGATAAGATATTATACATTAATTAAAATTATTATAAAATATTTTTTCTCTTTGGTTCATTCTAAATCATTTTTCTTTTATTCACCATAGTATTCAATTGTACCTTCAGTCTTAAATGTTTTTTAAAAAAGTATTTATTTATTCAATAATTATTATTCTTAAAATAAAAAACAAAAATATTAAAGTTAAATATATTTTTATATACAAGTATTTTCATTATTGACTCAATCTGAAGTGTGATAACTTTGAATAATGATTAAGAATTGTGTTAATTTGTACTTATGGAGTTGAAAAATAAATAATGTGTTACAGCATAATAATACATTAACAGTATTAATGATTTTTTTTTTTGTTTTGGACTCTCCAACTTAAACAAACTACTATATATTTATTGTGTCTTTCTTATTGACATATATTGTAAATGTATTTTTGATATTTTTAATAAAATTTGATATGGACTTTTAAAAGTATAAAAGTATCCATAAAACAATTTATAGAAACTAAAGTTTTAATGTATATGTGCTTAATATTTAAATTTTGGTAAGGCATCCATGTTCATAGAAGTTGACTGTAGGGAAAACACAAATGCAAGTTGGTCATGAGTCTAAATTAACAGTAATATTAGAGATTGGCTAGATTTAGAAATGAAATATATTATTTACTATAATGGTACTTTATAAATTGTTGTGGCTTTTAAAGTTATTTGTTTAGGTTTAAAATTATGACTTTAATGTTGAGTTACACACATAATTACAATTAATTCATCAAGATTTCATAATTGAGTGATGTTAGTGCCATAGCTTTGGGTTTTGTTTCTAACATGGTTATCACCAATTATGTTAGTGGTGTTATAGGAGTTTAAAATTCTTATGACAATCTATAATTGCCCAATAAAATATTTAAATGTTCTATTTTAAACCCATATCCGAGCACTCACATTCTGATATACAAATAAAAATTCTTGTATTAAATTTAAACCACATATGATAAGAATCTTTATAAATGAAGTGGTCTAAAAGTAAATGATCCTAATTTAATATTCATGTTTCACATGCTCCATTTTTTTTTTATTCTAAGAATTAGAAGAAAATTTAAAATAATATATCTTGAGATTTAATGTTTGGTAAGAATTACATTAAGTGCTAATCTTCACTTCGAACTTCAGGATGCACTAATAATAATGCCGAAATTATGAGCAAAGTTTATCTTTGCATATGAAAGAAAAAAAAGCAAAAGGTTAAAGAAATGCCCTCATATTAACTAATGCTGTGTTACAAGGCTTGATAGTTGCATTCATTCGTGGAGATGGTGGAGTGAGATCTTTGTTTGGAACTAGACTAATAGTCAGAACTTGAAGAGCAACAAACAACTGCAAGAACCACTTTACCTATAATTAGTTGCCTTGGATCTTCACATAAAGCACGCTTGCCACTTTGTGTATACAAAATTCTATATTGTTCAGGGAGGAAGGGTCTGCCCAAGTTAAACTATTCTTTTAGGATATTCCAGCACCATAGGGTTAGGGCTTTTTATTTCCACGAAGGAACACTTGGATGATGGCGATGGCGGTGGCGGTGGGAGGAGCGGCGAGCTGAGAAGCTGATCCTCGGAATGTAGTGAGCTGCGGGGGGTCGATTCTAGCTCGATGGGCGGTAATGAGCAGGATAGGACTGATGCCGTGTACAAGACGAAGATTGTGAATTTCTTGGGCCGCCCCGTGCCTATCATCCTCCAAAACGATAACGGTCCTTGCCCTCTCATCGCTATCTGTGAGTAAACTTTAACTGGTTTGCATTAGGAGCTTTTCTCTTACTTTGTTTTCCCTTGTTTTCTCAGGTAACGTTCTTCTCTTGAGAAACAACGTGACACTTCACAAGGATTCTCCTGACATCTCACTACAAAGTCTACTGATTTTGGTAGCCGAGAGACTGCTCGATTCGAATAGCAACAACCAGGTAAAGTTACTCAAGCTTTAATGCCATTTTTCCATGGATTTGCTCCTCTGTTTTTTCTTCCTCTGGTTCAGGACAAGGACGAGAACTATGTCCAGAACCAGCAGCAGAACATTTCGGATGCCATCTCGTTGCTTCCTCGGCTTGCCACTGGAATTGATGTTAATGTTCGGTTTAGAAAGTAAGCCGGACTGTGCCGTTTCTTTGGCTCGGGCGCTTATACTTTCGCACTATTTTCGCAGTATTCATGATTTTGAGTTCACCCCAGAGTGCGCGATATTTGATCTTCTAGACATTGGCCTTGTCCATGGCTGGCTTTGTGATCCTCAGGTAACTATGCCATTAAGGGTCGATTCTCTTACTCTTTTGCTGGTGTAGGATGAGACCACAAGCAGAGCAGTGGGATCAAACTCTTACAACGTCCTCGTTGAAAAGCTTGTCGCATTGCACGCTGGAAAGCCTGCTGTGGAGGAGGAGCCGACTGTCGATTTTGCCGCTGCAACCACTGCTAGCTTAGGAGTGCCTTCCCCAGGTCTCTGCTCGAGAACGTCCTTTGAGGGCTTGCAGTTTCTGGATTTCACGGACCAAAAGCAGGAAGCCCCGGAGACGCTTGATACGTCATTGGAGACAGAAACAGAGGGTTCAAATGAAGCGGAGGAAACCCGAAAGAGGAAAGGTGATGAGGAGGAAGCCGCTCAGTTGCTCGACGCTCTCAACCTGTCCAGAGTGGACGTCCCAAGCACGCAGCTTGTAGATACGGAAAATGGAGCTTCGAGTCCAAAGAAGAACCCGGTGGAAACGGAAGCAGGCCTCAAGGAGTGGCCCAGTATGACAGTATGGGTGCCTGAAAAGGATGGTGGCAGTGGTACAGAGTCACTGGTAACGGTGGCGGAGGACAGTGAGTGGCAGACCAAAATCGATCGCGACACAACGGAGAGCTCGCAGCTCAGTAGCTCGTCAGATTTCGAGTGTGTAGAAGTAGACGATTGTAGGACTGCTGATTCTTCGAACCTCAGCGGAGAAGCAGAAAAGATGGAATCCGCGACAGCTGACAGCATCGCTGAGGATGCTGGTCGTGAGAATGAAGGACGGATTGAAATCGATGAGCCGCTTTACGAGGGTGAAACAACATATCAGTCATTTGAAGGTGACTTCGAGAACCGGGAGCTTTTATACGAAGGGGAAGCGGTTATAGCTGATTCGGAGCCGGGATCCAGTGGATCTGATTTGAGAACTTCAGAAGGTATGATTTCCATTTGTTTGTTTCTGAGTTCAAGCAAACTTTTGGGGCTAATATGTGTAACTGGATGCTTTGAAACTTTCCAGCGCTGGCTATTGAGAATTTTTTGAGCAGCCACGCAAGTCAACTCACATACTACGGGTGCGTTGCAAGCGTTTGTTTATTCTTTGCTGAATATTTGTCTTTTCCCGATTTGTTTTTCCAGTCTCTTTAGTTTGCAGGAAGGGCTGAAAGAAAGAGAGCTGTGTGTTTTTTTCCGCAATAATCACTTCAGTGCGATGTTTAAGGTCTGGTTGGTTGTGTTAATCGGTAATTGCTACAAGTGCTTATCGTCGTGTTGCAGTACGAGGGAGATCTCTTTCTGCTTGTGACAGATCAAGGCTACCTCAACGAACCCGATGTCGTGTGGGAAAAACTTACCGAGGTGATTTAATTTGAAGGGTGACGTTCGTTCCTTGACGGTTGCGTGCTGTAGGTGGACGGTGACTCTGTCTTTTTCACCGGCAACTTCACGTTGTTTAAGGCGGACGATCGGAACACGAGTTCCTGGAATGAGCGTGACGCAGTCGCTGCCACAGCTGTGAGTTGTTACCAAATATCTCAGTGGAGGATCTCTGTATTTATCTTTACTTTTGCTGTAGGATTACATCTCTCAAATGGGAAAGCCAGTCCCGGCACCGCAAACTTCCATTGATCCAAGCTACAAGTATGACTGGGTTTTATAGTGTGTCGGTTCTTACCATCACGTCTTTGGTGCAGCTCGGATTTGGAGCTAGCCATGGCACTGCAGCAACAAGAATTCGACCAGCAGCAAAACCAGCAAAACCAGCAACCGCAGCAACCGCAGCAACAGCAGCAGCAGCAGCAGTCCCCTCGAAAGCCATCCAATTCTCCGCGAAAGGGACACAGACAATCCAGCGGGATCACTCCTGGAAGGCTAGTCACGGTAAGAAGATGGCACTTCCTTCGCAGAACTAAAAGATTTTCTTGCAGGGACCGAGCAGTGCCAGTCCGCCACCCAAGTCATCGGACTCGAAACCCAAGGATAAATGCAAATTGATGTGAAATACAAAGGATGGTAATAATATACATAATTTTTTTCTTCCCATCTTACTTTCTAGTTTGATTTATTACTTCATAGCTTGGATTGATTTTTCTTATCGATCATGTTAAGATGGACACACTGCCAGTGGAAGTAAAATCCTGCGCAAAGCTTCTAAAATCTCTCGACAAGCTAGAGGATTGCCACAAGGTCCACGCGAAGATCCTCGAGCACAGCCTCTTTTCTCGCAACACCTTTCTCTCCAACACCACCCTCGAGGCCTACGCTCGATGCGGGGGCTTGGCCGAGGCGCTCCACCTCTTCCACTCGATCCATCGCCCCAATCTCTTCTCCTGGGGCCTCGTGATCCGGGCTTGCATCGGCCACGATCGCCTCCCTCTCGCTCGCAAGTTCTTCGATGGATCGCCCCAGCGCGGCCTGGTGCTGTGGACGACGATGGTGGCGGCGTATGCCCAGGCTGGGGATCCCGCGGCAGCGCAGGAGCTCTTCGAATCCATGCCCGAGTGGGACGTGATCTCCTCCACGGTGATGATCACGGCCTGCGAGCTGCCAAGAGCGCGAGAGATCTTCGCCGACATGCCCGAGAGGAACTTGGTCTCCTGGACAGCGATGGCGGTAGCGTATGCCCGGAGAGGGCATCTGGAAGAAGCCGTGGAGCTCTTGGATCGAATGCCGGAGCTGGATCTGGTGTTGTGCACGTCGATCGCGGCCGCGCACGCGAGGAGCGGCGATTTCGATAGAGCGAGAGAGTTCTTCAACCGGATCAAAGAGCCCGACGCGTTCTCCTACGCCACCATGATCGCTGCGCATGCCCAGGCCGGGAAGATGGAGGAAGCCCAAGAGCTCTTCGATCGAATGCCCGAGTTTGGAGTGGTGGCGGCCACTGCCCTCGTCCATGGCTACGCCGAGAGTGGCGATCTCGAGGCCGCGAAGCTCGCCTTCGATCGAATGCCGGAGAAGAACATTGTTTCCTGGACGACCATCGTCTCCGCCTATGCTCGAGCCGGTCTCATCGAAGCCGCCGAGGAGTTCTTCGCGAGCTCGATGAGCGAGCACGACACCACCTCGAGCAACGCGATGCTGGCCGCGCTGACGCTCAACTCCTGCGTCGATCGAGCCAAGGCGGTGTTTGATGCGATGCCGCTGCGCGACCTGGTGTCGTGGAACTCGATCTGCGAGGCCTTCGCCGGGAGCAACCGAGTGGACGTCGCGGCGGAGATCTTTCGCTCGATGCCCGAGACCGATGTGGTGTCCTGGACGACTCTCGTTGTGGCGTATGCTCAGGCTGGTCATAGCGCCGCTGCCTCGCTCGAGCTCTTCCACGCCATGAATCTCCACGGCCAGCTTCCAAACGCCGTCACCTTTGTGGGAATCCTCACTGCTTGCAGCCGCATTGGGAGCTTGCGTATCGGTCTAGCCTGCTTTGCTTCGATGGTCCACGACTTTGCGCTCGAGGTTTCTCCAGAGCACTGGTCTTGCCTTGTGGACATGCTGGGAAGGTCGGGTCAGACGAGTGATGCGCAAGAGGTGATCAAAGACTTGCCTGCTGCTCGCGAGGATCCCGTGGCGTGGACGGCGTTTCTGAGCTCTTGTAAAGACCAGGCGGATTTCCAGCGGGGAGCTTTCGTTGCCCGAGATGTGGTTGCTTCCGGTGTTGCGGACGGCGGGGCTTTCACGCTTGTTTCTAGCATCTGCTTCACTTAGCGAGAAAAACAAGAGAAGGCGAAGTGCAGAAACACCTTCTCACTCACAGACGATGATAGCCTTTCTTTATTGTAACTTTACTGGTGTACCTTTGCTTTCACACACGAAGCTCACAGAAGCTTCAGGATATCCTTCTGCAAGAAAAGAAGTTAGTGCACCGAAAGAGAGTAGCGCGGCAAGAAATTGACCTCGATTTTGGATGGGTTTGTAGTTGGAGCATAGCGCTCAACAACTTCACCAGTCTTGCTCACCAGAAACTTGCTGAAGTTCCACTTGATAAAGTCGCCGAAGATGCCCCCACCCTTGGCAGACTTGAGGTACTTAAAAACAGGAGCTGTGTCTGCTCCATTCACGTTCACCTGACACAACACCACGATGGAAAAATTTAGGAGAGAACTGAAAAGATAATCACCACTTACTTTCCCAAAAACCGGGAACTCGGCCTTGAATCGAGTACACACGGTTTGCTGGATTTCTTCGTTAGAGCCAGGCTCTTGCCCGGCAAACTGGTTACACGGAAAGGCCAGGATCTCAAAGCCTGGAGTCAGGGAGAGCTCATAAGTTTCACAGCCAGAAAAAAGAAATTCATACCCTTGTCCTTGTACTTCTCGTAGAGCTCGTTGAGTTCTTTGTAATTGGTTGTAGTGAAGCCACTGCCGAAGAAGAAAAACCGGTTAGAGCACACCTCGATTGACAACAAACATACCATTGCGATGCAACGTTCACAATCAGGAGAACTTTGTCCTTGTAGCTGCCGAGAGAAACATCGTTTCCTGTAGCATCCTGTAAAACAATGCGAAGAACATCTAGACAATTGGAGGAGGTGTATAAACGAGCGAACATTGACAGTAATGTCGTAGATGCTAGAGGGCTTATCCGAAGAGCTCATGTTCCGATAATTCGGCGAGAAGATTCTTGCAGAGTCGTAAAAAAGCGAAGCGTTCCTCCAATACAAAGATACCAAGAGCACAAGAACCAATGATATATACGAGGAATATGCTCTAAGTATCATTCGCTGTAGCTGTGGATTCTTGTGTCTGGAAGAACAAGCCAGAAACGAGGATGATGATCGATCTCGATCGGTCTCGACGCGCAAGAGCGACAATCGCCATACCTGGATCGCGCCAAGCGATTGACTGCTCACAGATCGAGCCAAGCGATTCTCACACCGCGTTCTTGGCGCAGCGCATTCCGGGAAGAAGAGAAAGGACAAAGAAACCCTAGCACTGGAGAGGCAATGAGCTTCTTGTCTATGAGAAATTTTGCGGGGAATGGATCGAAGCGACCATCGATCCAATCCAGGAAAGATTACAGTGAGCAATCGCACCGATCGGTGGATGGCAGCAAGAATGGAAATATTTCGAGAGAGCTCGTGCTCCTCCGCGGTCACGGGGTCACGCTGTCGCTGGATCTAGGCCGGAATCCCACAGTGGGATACATCTGGCGCTTGCGATGCATGCTCACTGGCGCCGCCGTGAAATGCATGAGCAGCTGGTTGCTCGCGAAGAGATCCGTGAGATAGCTGCCGCCATTGCCGAGAACCTTGCTGCACGCGCCTTTGATCTTCCTCGCGACCACGCCGGGCGCCCTGGCCATGGCCTGGTGGATCTTGGACACCGGGCACGGAGATTTCCTGCAAGCCGACTTGGATTTCGCCGATGGCCGATCGGCCGGGCGGAGGCGAATCACCGGCGGGAGCTCCACATTGCTGCTACACTCCGCGGCATCGATGGAGCTCACGAATCTCTGGTAGCTGCGGATGCCATGGCCGGATTTCTTCTTGTCCCTGGACAATCCCAATGCCGCCGGCAAAGACCGCCCCATAATCCCTATACGGATGGATCCACTGCTGCGTGGCCGCCGTCGCGTGGATCGACGGAATCGATCGATCGCCTGCCTGCCTGGGAAGGATGGAATCGCAGCAACTACCTTATTAACCACTGCCGATTCGGGATCAGAGGAGGAGAAGAGAGAGAGGGACGCGTTCTTCGCCAGGACTGCGACGCCATGCCATTGAAGGAAAAGATGGATGGACGGATCCAATCAAGGATGGAACAGAGTAATGCCAGATCTCTATTCCACGGTTTGGTAGAGCGCATTGAAGGAAGTGACTCTAGGGCTTGCGTGTCCGCCGCGGTGTCAACGTTTTAGGGCTTTCCTTTTAGGGCTAACAGGTTAACTTTTAGGGCGTAAATTAAAGGGGGGGTCAACAAATTTGCCAGACAAGATCAAGTTGACCACCAGTTTGTAGTACTTTTGCGTGAAATGGTTTCCATCCCAAGAGACGAATTTGGAGGGATCAACACAGACTGGAACTCCGGGCGATCCACATTTTCTCCGGGGTGAGAAGTTGTACGGACTCCCGGATCCACAGCAAGCGTTGTCTGTGTCTGTGAAACCTGTATGAAAATCTTGATCATCAGCTAGGAAACTTCAAGAGAATAGCCACACCGTAACGCTCTGCGTTCTTCTTGATGTGGAGGAACGAGTTGTAGAGATCCGCAAAGAAGAATCTCGAGTCGCGGTGTTGTTTCCTCAGCCGATCGGTGGCGGCCCTTAGCCCGAGCTGCAGCGTGAGCGTGAGGTTGTTGTACGGAATTAGACACCCGCCGGCGTCATAGCCCCCCGGGTTCTTGCCTCCGTACAGCGTCTTGAAGAGCGGCGTGCAACCCTGTGGAGGGCGGCCGAAAACCAAGAAATTCCTGGCTCCATGCCGGTGCAAGGTCTGCTGGGAAAGTTCTAAGATTTGCCATCGAGACTCGGGTTACTCACTTTTATTGCGGATTCAACAGCGGCCACCGCCCGAGGGATGATCGAATCGCGAATCTCCTCGAGCGATTTGTTCCCGAACTCCGGCTTTAAGTTGTGATTGATATCGTTCCCGCCGACGAGAATGAAGTACAGAGATTTCTTGAAGAAAGACGGGGCTGGCAACAAGTTGTTGCATCCTTTTACTGAGGATAAAAATGCCATCGTCAAAGTTCTCTCAAGCCACGACCAAAATTACCTGTCCCTTGATCGATTTCTCGAGCCCGGCTGATCACCCTTGTTCGAAACTGCAAGAACTGCTTCACTTGGAGCATGAGGTGGAAGGGATTTTGGAAGCTTGCAGCGGCGGCAGTAGCTCCAGCCTGCGCGAAATTCACACTTTTCCTATGATCCGGGCGCAAATCCTCCAAATAAGCCACCGCGCCCTCTCCAAGACCGAGAGCTTTCACTGGAAAACCACGGATTGCTCGATTATGATCGCCCATGAAAACAACTATTTGACCCCGTACCAAAGTAGTCCACCATGAGCTTTCCATCGCTGGATCTTCCCGTGCTACTGGATCCCGGCCAGGTGATCCCGTATGGCAGTCCGGAAGGGAATCCCCCGGGCACACCGTCGGGAAACAAGGCTTGCGCGTTACCTGTGTCGGACAGGGAATCGCCAAACGCGATGAGACCCCGGACTGGAAGCGCTAGCAAATGTGGGGCACGATGTGGGGCTTGTCCTCCAAATGCTGAAAGAATCTGGGCATTGGCATCGATGAGCAGCGAGAGCGAGTAGCACATCCATTGGAGGAGCAGTGTCATGGTGTGTGAGATTGAGATTGAAGCACGTATTGTGCAAGCATTCCTCTAGAAGTGAAGTATATTCGAATCTCAAAATCCATCCAAGCACGTTTTAAGATGCCGATAGTGTATTTTGGATTCAAAATGGTCCAAGGGGCATAACGTTAAAAGATATTTAATCTTAAGAGGAGGTCGTTAAGCCTTTTTATCTTTGTTGTTAAAAGATTGGTAAGGGTTGATTCCAATCGGCTCAGCCGTTGGATTGCGGAGGCTCCGAATTAGGGATTAGCCTATAACTAAAGGTGAAGCACTTGCATTGATGAAAGTCTTCGCCCATGATCTTGGTATTGCCTGGATATTGCTCAATTACTCAGTCGTGAGACTCATGAAAAGCAGATTTTTTCACACTACCACTAGGTGAGCCCAACATTTCGAGTCATCAAGATCCCTTTCAGGATCTTGCCATCCATGCAACTTCGTCGCTACAAGACCCTTACATTCACTTCACGCATTAGCTCTGACGAGGGTTGAAATTGATGATCCGGACGAACAAGGATTCCTTCATTCTGGAGTCTGAAATCTCAAAATGAATTACTGATGCACCTTGATACTTTGAACACAATGATTTATGCATCTCTAAGTGCCAGAACATGATCATGATTTTGACAGAGAATTCACAAAATCCAACATAGATGCGATAAACAAACAACATCCATAATAACTACATCAAAGGGCTGGATTGACTCCAATGGAGCATTGATGGATCACCTTTCATGGGCAAAGGTGATCCCTAAAGAGGTCCAAAGCTGCAAGGCTAGAAAATGCTAAAGAGATTTATTAATTGTTCCATTCAAATCCATAACCATATGAAGGATTTAGATTGGTTTTCTGTTTAGTGAGGATGCTTGACAATGAGCTTCAGGTCTGTTGGTTTGTTGTTTAATTCTTCACATTTGTTCTGTGAGCAGGCAAAGATGTCCTTGGAGGAGTTCTGCAACGCAGTGCAAGTCCTCACCGCCATCAGTGAGAGCTGTCCGATACAAATTCACAAACTACAATTCACGAAAAGCTATAACATGCTGGCTGAAAAGTACTTAGCAGATGAAGTACAAAATTTTGGAAAGCATGACCTGGCGAGACATGGTGTTCCTGGTCACAGAGATGTGAAAGAAACTTATTTTAAAGTTTCGTTTGAGCTTTTTGGTTTTTGGTTTACTTTTTGGTTGTAATTTTAAACATGTTTCAATGCATTAACAAATAATACTAAAGTTGCTGCATGCAACACACAGAAAATTGAAGAATTGACAAACATGCTAGCTCAAAACATCCATTTTTTGCTTCACTCTTCTTTGAAATAAGTCGAAATCCAGACGCGAGGTCGAAGGGAATGAGATTAATCGCCAGTGTTGGCTCTTCAGCAACCATGGCAACGAAAAAATCCGTGACTGGGGATTAAAGCAACTCTTACCAGCATCTGGAGGCCATTCTAGCTTTGACCACCTCCGGATTCCAGGGGCAGTCAATCGGCACCGAAAGAGTCTCGACCGCCCTGTCCATGAGGCAGCCGCTCCTGTACCCGGTGGCTTTCATGGTCGCAAAGTTGACTATCCAATAGTCAGCGGCGACCTTCGATGACGCGAGCGCCACCCTCGTGAAGACGATTTTAATTTTTGGAAAGCACGGGTGTTGTTGACCAGAAAGTCATGATTTTTTAAAGAACTTAAACAATATAGAAGGAAAGTCGTAATCAAAGCACATCCTTTTTTGCCTCTGGGAAGAATTTTTCTCCGAGAAAAATGAAAGCACCACAAGAACCCTTTGTTGAGGTCTGAAGCCTCTCGCCATGGTTTGACGTTAATGCCTATTTTTCACCGGGTTTGAGACGTGCAGAGCCTCTGACAAGAACTTTACACCGAAAGAAGCTATGCCTATCTTTTCTCACGGGGTGGAAGGATTTGCTCTCGACTGGAGTCCGGTGCACCACGCTGGTACCTTGAACCGATTGATCCATTTGCATTTAAGTGTTATTGTTTATAGGTGATAACAAATCCATGTCTGGCAACCACTTAAGAGCTTGTGTTCTTGTGAAACATTCGTCCAGCGTCGAAGATTTGCATTTGACTTTTAATGATAGTATCTTTGAGCTTACAGCCTGCTCTTCCGATGGAACGGTCAGTGATGAAAGTTTGATGTTAACGTGCTCTCTTGGAACAAGTTTGTGGTCCTCAAGAACAAACATTTTTACTGTCATTTTCACTGTCAGATTCACACCGCCGGGATTTCGACTCTCTACAGGTGCTTGAGCTTCAATTCAATGTTTTTTAGGATGGAACACAATACTGCTTACCAATCTAAGAGTGCGAGATCATGGTCCTGAGTTCGACCAGTGATTTACGACATGGATGACATTGAACAGGGCTGGAACTGCTATGTCTGGTATACATAAACGGCTTGGTAGAAGAAGCAGTCCAAGGACGTACCGGGGTGGATCCTACAATGGATCAGTTCTTGGCCATGGTTGGTGGTAGTCAATTTTCCTGGGCGACTGTTCCTCCAGAGGAAATTGCTGAAGAGGTGAAGATTCTATGCAGCTTGTTTTAAGAGACTCGATGAGCTTCAGGTATGTTATTCTTTGTATTCTTCTCTTTGTTTTGTGCTTCACATTTGTTTTGTGACCGGGCAGAGACGTCCTTTGAAGAGTTTTGCAGTGCAGTTAACGTCCTTTGCACCATTTGCGAGAGTTCTTCTAAGCACCACCTGACCAACCATGGCAACCGATAAGTTATGACAGGCTTTGTTGTGAAAATCATTGAGAAAGATCTGCATGGGTTGTCCCAGTGTCCAGGAGATGCCCAGGTTTTTGACCAGGTAAACTCATTTTGAAGTTTGATTTCATGGTTTTTTCAGGTAGAAAGTTTCACCAGACACCAACGCATGCAGAAAGAAAATTTGAGAAGGAACGAATCACACCACTCGTAAACAAGCTGAAAGCATCACTTTCACTTTTTTTTTTTGAAAGAAGTCGTGAGATCCTGATCCACGTATACTTGTTTGAAGCGATAGCTCTCGGATAACTCTTGCAGCAAAGCCAAGAAATGTTTATTGAGAAGCAAACTTACTTACTACTGACTCGAGGCCCCTCCTCCCTCCTGCACGGACGAAAGCTTCTCTTTGGTCCCGGACAAGGCCTCGAGCTCCTTCTCCACAAACTTATCAATGTCGCTGGGCCGGGTCCCGATTCCAGCGGCGGCGGCCCTTGCCCGCGGCAAATCGTCCTTGAAAGACACCCTCTTCCTCCTCGCTGGCCGCCTCACCGCCTGTTCTTCCGCTGGTGATTTCTCTGGAGAAGCTCCCGACGGTGATACCAGCAAGACGTTCCGGCAGCAGCACACCATGGCTGCCACCTCCAGCACGAAGATGAGCACCGCCCCCCACACGTAGCACGTCCACTTCCACTTGTACAGGACCGACTTGAGCCACGGAAGCTGCGACTGGACGAGCACCTCCGCGTTGTAGATCTCCGGCAGCCCGGCTCCAGGACCGAATCCGGCCCTCGGTTCCAGCAATATCTTGGCACTGCCCGGGTAGCTGCTGCTCGATCGCTCTTCGTACGCTTCCACCAGCTTTAGGACGAGAGTCTGCGACTCCACCTCCAGTCCTAGGATAAGTGGCACCGCCAGCATCGCTGTCTTTGCGTACCGGATCGGACGACTTCGGTAGCGGAGCATGCAGGGATGCGTGAACCGAGACAGCACCACGCCGTTCACTGCCAGGATCTCAGCCGTCACCTGTTTCATTTCACAAAGCCTGTGAGCAAACCACGTCCAAAGCAAACAAAAACCAGAAAGCAAGAAAGAAAAGGAACTTCCATACGTACCTGGAACATCCCGAGGCGCATGTTGTGGTCGGATTCGGGTAGCTGCAAGGTTGCCGTGATGTGGAAGCTGTGCGTCTTCGGGATTGCCCAGGCTTTCAAGCTGCTGACGCTCTTATCCGTTACAACCTGAGGGAAGAGAGGAACTCGTGCACTCGGACGAGCCTCGGTGTAGTCGAAGTTTATGCTTTCCCGCAGCTGGACTGGTTCTTCCACGAGCCGGGACATCAGCACCACGTCCATGAGAATGGCAGGAACCAAGAGGAGGTTCAAGAGCATAAACACGTATGCCGCTGACAAAACACCATATCCCATCCTCTTCACCATCCTGCTCACCTTTGGACCAATGTCTGCAGCAGCCTCCCAGAGCATAATCTGGAGCTGAGTTATAACGGAGATGCCATCGCTGATCTTCCCCGTCACCTTGTTCTTGGCCTCCACAGTCCTATGGATTGGTTCCGTCACCATCGAGAAGCAGATGCTAAACAGTAGCATCGCAATTGACATGGTGTAGCCGATCATCTTGAACTGGAAGCCGATCGCGTTGATCAAAAAACCAACTGGCCATAGCAGGAGATGGCTCTCCGGCTGCTCCTTGTGCGTTGGCATCTTGTACACTTCTCTTCTTCGATGCGGGGCCGGTGCCGGGACTGGAGCAGTCTCAAAACAGGCAGACTTCTCGACTAACGGCGGCATTGTCAGCCCCTCGTCCTGTTCATCGACCCCCTGGCTTTCGTTGCTACTGCTACCGTTCTCGAACAACAAAGGCTGCCTATCCATGTCCGGATGCTTGCCACCATCGTCCTCGTCCGAATCAAAAGCCACCTCCCATCCGTTGTCAACGTCGGGAACCTCAAAACGGCCAGTCCCCGAGCCCGAGCACTCGCCAGAGTCCTCCTCGGCCCCTTTATCGATGCGTGCCTGGCGAAAACCCGAGCTCTCGGCCACCTCTTCATCATGGAGCACGCACGACGATCCGGACGCGCTGTCGCCGACCCTTTCGGGGAAGCAACCGCTGTCAGGCTCTCGAGCAACCGAACCTGGAAGAATCGAAGACGCCATCCCCCGAAAAACCAAATCTCCCTGCCTACATTCCCGCATCACTTGTCGTGCTTCCCAACTCCGCCCAGCATTTTTCTTTCCCAGCAATCGTTGCTCGTCGCTAGAGCACCGCGACGACGATAGTAATGAAGCTCCCACCCCCCGAGCAAGTGCGCAGCTCGTTTTCTTCCTTCTTTTCCCTGCCCCTGTGCGTTTCCTCCATGCCTCCCGTTAAACACCATCCTTCCTCCATGCGCCTCGAGACCCGATAGACGGCGGCGATGGCGTCGCTAATTTTAGGAACAAACGCTCATTGGCCACGTGATAGGCCGCCACCTGTCCTAGACTTCACGAAGATCCTATCGTTTGCTCCAGAGAACCTCTTTCTGGTGGTGTTGTTTCCTCTTCGAGCTTTGCGATTCTCTCCTGCCAGGGTTTGCCGGGAATTAGCGTGATCACAAGCTTTTGTAGATTTAACCATACCCTGTGATATTCTTCCAGCCAGGTGTTGATCTTGGCCCAAGTTGCCGCTCGGCTTTCCTGTTTCTTCTTCTCAGACAGCTCGTCTGAAATGGCATACTTCCAAGCGTTCATGCAGCGCATGCAGCGAGCTCTGATACCACCAACCAAAAGAGATGTCTAAGTTTGAGCTGTACTTGTTGGAATCCGCGTACCTCTTTGCGCGGCCGATTGCGATTTGCTCTTTTAGAAAGAGCTCATCCTTGGAAGTCTTTGATGCCACTTTCCACTTGTTCCAAATCCATTTGCACAGGCGAATATGGTTACAAATGGCGCTTGTTTCCTCGTAGAAACCTCTAGTTTCAACAGCCTGTTGCAATAGCGTTAGCTTTGGACGCGTGTTCAGGACTAGCAGTACCTCTTTGAAGCTATAAAGACATCTTTTCACCAGGTGGGAGCAGTAGAACTTTGTCATTTTCAGCGTCTTGAGCCACAAGCGTAGGCACAGAACTTGGCACCATCTCCCCCGAAACTTTCCGATTGTCTCTGCAGCCTCGTTCATCCTATCCGAGACACAGCTCCACCAGGCAGCAAAAATCTTCCGCTCTAGAACCAATGAACAGTGCGTCCACGCCTTGTCCATCTTCGTTCTGTACAGACAGCGACCTTCTCATGTAACGCCAACCTATAGAACTTGTAGTTGCAATCATCCCACTTAGTTTTCTCGCATACCTCTCGTTCCAAATCAGTCTCTTCCATGGCAGCATTCCGTAGTACACAAGTTTCTTCCGCGAGCAATGCAATGCTGCAAGCTCGAACTGCTGGCACCACAGCTCACGCTGTTTCTTCTTCTCTTCCTCTTTCTACCAATAAAGAAAACCCATCGATCATCAGATCCGAGCTTGCCAAAAACAATTGACCAACCTCGAGCCTTTGTTTCTCGGCCAGCTTCTTTTGCTCCACATAAGCTTTCCTCTGTAGCTTCTCCAGCTCCGCTTCTCTCTGCACCCTCGCTTTCAGCTCCATCTGAAAAGAAAGCAAACTCTTTGGAAGATGAGGAAAAACAAACGCAATGCTGACGTACTTCCTTTTGCCTTTTAGTGTTCTCATATCTCGCTCGAAGTTCTTCCCTCCGCCGGCGTCGTAGCTCGTCACGAGCAGCCATGGACTGTAGCGGCCCAAACGAGCACCTCGTTCCTGTCACACGAAACCACACGTTTACGACAGAGACACACTCCCCTTCCATCTGGACTGCGATGAAATCGCCAGTGCCAGCAATCAAGGCGAGATCTCTGGAGGAAAAGCAAGAAATCCATCCAACACGGCTGGATTATCAGGAAGCGAGACCTCCGAGCTGCTAGAGAACAATGCTGGACTCTAGAGAGGATCAAGATCGGATCGCCGCTTACCGGATGATCTGGTGGAGCTGCTGCACAGCGATGCCGCATCGTCTCCTCCATGAACCATGGCGATCGCGCCTCGCGCCCTCAAATTACCCTAGCCCGCCAATCCTAGTACCTATAAAGGAATATAAACTTCCATAACGGACAGAAAATCCAGGAATGTTTTCTCTAACTGAAAAGGAATGGCCGATCGATCAATCGATGGATGGGAGCGGGAGCTTCCCAAAATTTCTCTGTGATCGATGGAGACGAAGAACAGCGTGAAACGAAAGAAGCCCTTTATTGGAGTGGATCAAACAACCAAAAGTGAGAGAATGTAGGTTCTATGAGAAGAAGAAGAAGAAGAAAGAAGAATCATCTAAAAATCTTTGGGTGTGGAGGAGCTACTGCGAGGCCATTTGATCCTCGCAATCGATCATCCGCTGTAAGGATCCTGCTGCAAGAGGCGCCGATTGGCGGAATCCATGCTGCGCGCCAGATTATCCATGACCTTCTCCTGCTGCTCCAGGGAGAGATCGTCGATCTCCTGGGCAAAGAAGGAGCTGCCGCCCGCCCCATCCAAGAGAGGCCGATGCGATTCAACCGGGGCGATCGCCGCGGACAAGATCATCCCCAAGAGGCAAGCCACGAGCAGGAGCTTGGAGATTCCAGCTGGAGAAGCCATCAAATCGTCGTGCTCTCCCTGCCAGGCGCACAAGAAAGACGAAGATTAGGTCAACTTGATCCAAGCCCTACCTGGTGTCCGGTCGAGAGGAAGAAGAAAAGGACAAAGAAGGGAGGGGAAGAACACGAGGAAAGAATGTAGGATCCACACAAGAACAGCGAGATTGTCACAAACCTGCGCGCCTTCGAGATTTCACGGAGCCGCGCGCCTGGATTATGGTGAGGCGGTGGATTGAGCTCCCGCGAGGAAGATGAAGATCGAGAAGATCAAAAGAATGGATCGATCGAAAGAATCGAGAAGAGAGCTGGAGGAAGCCCTAGGCAAATCTCTTGTTCTTTTTTTTCCCCCTCTTTTTTGTCGCGGAGGGCGCAAGCGAGAAACCTGAGAGGCGAAGTGTGGCCAAACAAAGCAAACCAGAAGACAAAACGAGAAAAGAGCAGTTGCCAACGGCAGTTGCCATGCGCAAGTGAGAGCGCATCGCGACCGTCGGTGTGCTGCCATCCACGGCCGCGCTCGCTCCACGCCACGCGGCGCGCGACGGTCGAGATCCCGCGTTACATCAACGTTTGGAATGTGATAATCTTGGTCGCCAGTAAGAACGCCACCGTAAATTCGAACCGGGGACCGCCCAGAGAGACGTAAATAACCACAATGCTGCCAATCTGGTTAAGTAAAAGTCAAAACGTAATTCTACTAGCTCCTTGCACCTAGCACGCCATAGCTAGGGTTTCTAGGGTTTGCTGGGAAGAGGGAGGCCGGTGGGGCGGTGTGGCGGCTGTAAATGTGATCCTCTTGAGGGGAGATTTCCGTGCGCGGCGAAGATAGCAGCGGCTGTCGGCGCCGGAGGATCGTGAAATTTCAGGGGATCGATCGATCGTCGGCGCCGGCGAGCGGATGGGCGTCGGTGCTTCCAGAACTGGCGCTACATTTCGCGCAGGAGGTATTGGAATCATCGGTAGTGGGATATCTAGGCGCTGCAGTTCATGAAATCTTTGTGAGCCTTACTGCATTGGGGCTTGCATGGGCGATCCTGAAGGCTGGCTACAGCCAAGCGGCCTTTTGCCTGACGGATCATCCTCCTTCGCGGCTCTATTCTCGTCTCTGGACGATGAGCGCTGGGTCCAGGCAGAGAACAGGACTGGCGAGCTCATCACACGCATTCAGCCCACCAAATTCTCCGAGGATCGGCGGCGGGCCGTCGCGGACTACGTGGAGCGTCTCATTCGCAAGTGCTTCGACTGTGAGGTGAGAATTCTCTTTGTTTTCCTTTTTTTTCTTGTTTGTTTGCGGTACGTGGACACCAAGTTTCTAGCTCAGTGTGTGGGTCACTGTGTAGGTGTTTACATTCGGCTCGGTGCCATTGAGAACATACCTTCCGGATGGGGATATCGACTTGACTGCTTTCAGTGGGCATCAGCACTTACAGGAATCATGGGCGAATGACGTCCGCGCTGTGCTTGAAGCGGAGGAACGCAGTAAGGATGCTGAATTTCGGGTGAAAGAGGTTCAGTACATCCAGGCCGAGGTAGTTTTCGTTTCTCTTCCTTTCTGTAGCGTGACGAATAGATGATAGCTTGCTACCTGGCTTTGCAGGTGAAGATCATCAAGTGTCTGGTGGAGAACATTGTTGTCGACATTTCTTTTAATCAGTTGGGTGGTTTATGCACACTATGTTTTCTGGAGGAGGTATTAGTTCTAAACATGTTGCTCGTTTTCTAATCCTTCGTAACTTATCAGGTCGATCGGTTGATAGGCCGAGACCATTTGTTTAAACGCAGCATTATACTTGTGAAGGCTTGGTGTTATTACGAAAGCCGCATTCTCGGAGCACATCATGGTTTGATATCCACATACGCATTAGAGACACTCGTGCTCTATATATTTCACGTATTCCATGCAAGTCTTCGCGGTCCCTTGGGGGTAAGTTATAACCATTCTATTGCCCGTTTAGTTTGAAGGGTGGCTGATGCAGGTACTGTATCGTTTCTTGGAATTCTTTAGCAACTTCGACTGGGATAAATATTGTCTGAGTTTATGGGGACCTATTCCACTCTCGGCTCTTCCCGATATGCAAGGTAACCTCTCTTTTCTGTTGTCTGGACGAGGTTTTAACCTTGTGCTGTTACAGCTGAGCCACCGCGGAAAGATGGAGGACCTTTGCTACTTACTAAGCATTTTTTGGACTCCTGCAGCCGTGCATATGCAGTTATGCCCAACGGGAACATAAACGGGAGTATTGTCCAAAGCCGGGTCTTTGGTTCGAAGTACCTAAACGTGGTAGATCCTTTAAAAACTACCAATAATCTTGGCCGCAGCGTGAACAAAGGTTTGTTGCTAATGTAAGGTTTCTCTCCTGACAGTGTCTGTCGTTGGACGAAACAGGAAATTTCTACCGGATTCGCAATGCATTTGGTTTTGGCGCGCGTAAGCTAGCCCGTATTTTGGAATGCCCTCTGGAGGATGTAGCCGACGAGGTGGATAAGTTCTTTTTGAACACGTGGGACAGGCATGGGAGCGGTAGGCGACCTGATGCTCCCGAGTTCATTGAGAGGATGTCTTCGCCGGATGAAAAGCTGTCCAGTGAAGGATCTCCCAGGGTTGTGGAGAAGGGTGTGTTAGAGGCGGAGAACGACCAGCAGGTTGATAAGAATGCAACAGCTGGTGAACTTATTCAGGAGCTGAATAATTACGCAGTACGCTCTCAACAAAATGATTATATTTCGGAGACAGGTGATAAGACGGGCGAAGTGGAGTGTTCGGACGACAGAAGGCCGATTTCGGAAGATAAGCTGGCCTATACAGATACTGTTCCCGCACCACCACCACCACCGCCGCCGCCGCCGCCGCCGCCGCCTGGAGGATCATGGCCAGCGCTAAACCATGGGACTTTTTCGTATCCGCATATAGCTCTACAAGGCGGCTCTCAGGTCTATTCTGGCTTAAGTCCTCCAACAGACGTCACAGTACCACCAAGTCCGAGCTCCGAAGCATCTAGTCCTGTGTATTCTCCACAACGGCCATCAACGTCTCTTGGTATACCGGTTGGGCATTTACTTTCTTCGACATACGATGCGGCCGTTTCAAGTAACATGCAGTCTCGGAAGCAAAGGCCGGCGGACGGCCAAGTTCCTCCGTTTTACTATTCTCCGTTCTCTTATGTACCTCTCTACAACTCGTACTACGTGTTGCCGCGCGAGGGTGGAGAGGGAGAAACACTGAACGAGATGCCACCAAATGCACTACACGAAGACGGCCAGGCGGGGCAGCAGATGGTCTTCGGTGTTGGGGAAAGGCTCAGTGCTGCTGGAATTCCTGTTAGTTCTGGTGATCCAGACGCAGACAGGTTGACAGATGGACATGGTGCTCAAGTTTGTCAGTCTGATCTCTTGAGCAGTGACTTCGCTAATCATCTTCGGAACTTGGACTACGGACGAGCCTGCCAGACTGGTCCAATGTTTCTTCCGCAGCACGCATTTTTCCCCTTCGCTAAGGAGTTACAAGGTCATTACATTTGGGAAGGTCCTGGGAGACCTCATTCGAACGTCAACTTGAAGCATGGGCCGGGGTCTCCACGAATTCCTAGAAGATCTTTTCCTGGACCTGTTGGCTTTAATGGAGACGCTCGCGCGGGCACCGGAACCTATCTTCCTGGGACGGTAATTGTCATAAACTACTTTTCAAACCTTGGTTCTGATTAAGTTGTGTCTTGCAGCGGCAGACTTACCGGGAAAGGCAGTACAGAGGCCAACATGATGGCTATCAAGAACGGGAGTGTGAAAGAGATGTACCTCCTCGTTATCAGCGTAGTGTGGGCCGTGGTCAGAATAGTCGCATAGGACATGGGAAAGCAGGTGACAAAGGAGGATGGCATGACAGCTTTAACAGGAACGCAGTTCATGCAGCTCCAGTAACATTATCTTCTGGCAATCCGCCGGGGACACCGGAAGCTTATTCTCAGGTGTATATGAACGGCAATGGGAACACGTCGATTGTTGTATACCCGTCCAACGAACCGCTTGAGTTTGGGACGCTTGGGGCGGTGCAGGGCTCTGAGCTTGGAGCCGTTCGTGTGAGCTCTAAGGGGCAGCAGGCTGCGGGTCAAGATAGACAACAGCCGTCCTCCCCGAATGACCAGCAAAGGTACCAAAACGTTTTATCGATTATTCTGGCCACTGAAACTCGTTTTGCTACTTCAGGCAAAACCAGAGGGCTTACCAAATGAAAGAAGAGGACTTCCCACCTCTTTCTTTCAGAGCGCAGGGAGGGAATAGTTCCACGAGTGGTAACGGGGCTGGCACTCGCAGCTCCCCGTATCAGACGTACGTTGCATCTCAGTCGTGAGTTGGAGCGCACCAGAGCTAAGACTTGCTGTTTGTATATTTTACTATAATTGTAGCTGCTTTTCTAATTGTAAACTGGGCTGTATTTGTTGAAGCTTTAGGCCCGACTTTTTTTTTCTCACTCGGACAACGAGTCGGATGTTTTTAATACTACTGCGTGTCGTGTATGAGCTAATGACATGGCAGGGGAAGTTCGGGGGAGAATTTTGGAGATGAAAACAGCCTTTCGGATCCGATCAGGTTCTGTACACTTTCGAAATTTTCTTTGCGAGACTAAGTTCTCTGTTCAGATATGAAGACGCTTACGGCGATAGATTGGGCTCTGAACCTGCTACATCTTTTCATTCTGGTACACGGATTTGTTTTCTTTTGTTGGGGGCTCGTTTATTGATTTCTTCAGCTACCTAGGTGTTCGGAGGCTTGATTGTTATAATGGTTCCGGTCATACAAGGAGGGAGTCCCAACTTTTCGCCTGGGTGGTCAGTTGCAGTCATGTAATTATTTGTTCTGGGAATCTAACTTCTTGTTTTGCTTGCGTAGGCTTCTTATAATTCTTGGAGGGGTAACGATTGTGGCTGGTGCTTCAGGCATAGGAAGGACAGTCGGTCCTTGCTTCTGGATAAATATCGTTTTCAATTGTTTTGCTGCTCTTGGATCCATCGTGTACTCGTTGGCCTCGTTTTCGAACGTACGCTTCACCTTGTCACTTTGGGCTCAGCTTCACTCGCTTGTCGCAGAGAGAGAAAGTGGCGAGAAGTTTTCGATCTAAGCGCTTTAGTGCGAATGAGGTACATGTTATTCACGAGCTTGGGCTTATCGTATCTTTTTATTGTAGGTGATTATGAATGTAGGTGGAGTCGTTTATCGGACGTGTTTCATGGGCGTTTTACTTCCTGGTCGTTGCCGAGGTTTGCAAACTATGTGGTATAGCTAAACTTCGGCTAACTAAATTGTCGCCCTGTGAAGGTGTTGGGGGTCTTCTTCGGGAGCCTGGCTCGCCAGCTTAAAAAATCGGAAGGACCGCAGGAGAGTTTTGAACGGCGATCTATTGCTCTTCAAAGATTGAGTGTCGACTTGTATGGGTTCATTTGAGTATTCTTTGGCAATTGATTCATGGGGTGTTGCTATTTCAGGGCCGCGAAGGACGTCCGAAGAGCAAGCAAGAATGCGGATCGCATCGCCGAGAAAATGAAGGATAAATATGGGCAGTAAGCTTTATTTTTCTATCGGACATTTTCCCAACCTTACAATCTTCCTACAGATGGAGCCATGAGTAACGAGTGTTTTCTGTATAACTTGTGATGTGATCCAGCATCGTTTTATTCTATTTCTTATTACCACCGAGGTAGGCTTCCTTTTGTCTATGTCGTATCCTTTAGCTTCATGGGAACAGGGAATGATTTATCTGTCCTGAAAACCAACACACCATCAAAGACACCGTCGATGCGATCCATGGAACGGGATCAATGCTGATCACCACCTACACAGTTCCCTGGATACCGACGGATGTGAGCTAATCAGTCGACCAGAGGCGCACAGGCTCAGTCTTTTACGTACCGTTTTCCCCGTTTTCCCTGGAGCGAATCGTGACTGTGTAAGACGTCTGGTGCGTGACTTCAGAGATGCAGCAAGACCACACCAGTGAGCATCCTTCCACAACTCGTACACCTTCTCCCAGAGCATCACGCAGACTTTGACGAACGGTGTGCTGTTCTTTGCCGATGAGAGCACCGAGATCGAAATCGGAGCCGAGGAGGAGCTCGGAAACCAGACACTGTATCCGAGGAGGCGCGCTTCCTTTGTTCGTGGCAGGTCCATAGGCGACTCCGATTCGCTCGCACTCGCCAGATCTAGCAGGTACGTCACGTTGAAGATTTGCCTGCTCCTCACAGCTTCTTCGACCGCCAAAACCAAGTCCGGAGTGTTGCTTCCACGTACAGGAGAGGCCGTTGGTCCCTTGAGAGAGATTGTGGTCTCGAAAGTTTTAGTTTTAGGTCGCCGTTCAAGGCAATGCTCCAAATATTTTGTTTTTATAAATAAGTGTAAGGATAAAATCATAGGTGGATGCAAAGTTGAGGGTCCCTAGAATTCATACAAAAGTTGGTGAATCTGGCATTTCTCAAGTATGGATTTACTATACGGTGTTCGCGAAATATGAATGCGGATGGATATTTTTCAGTGTTAGTACAGATTTATTTATAACTCGCGATTGTACGGATCTTTTAGTTCTTATTATCACCAAGGTAGAGTGTTCTATTTCGTAACGTTGAGTTTCATGGGAACAGGGATGCGGTATGTCTTGGTACCGTCATATATCTCCGCATCAGTCCTGTAAGCCAGCACACCATCAAAGACACCGTCGATGCGATCCACAGGCTCACGCTCCACACCATTGAGCGACGTGTCCCTCGTCTTGTAGTGGAACGGGACGGCCAGTTTCGCAGTGCTGATCACAACCTGCACAGTTCCCTGGATGGATAGCAGAGGATGTCAGTTAATCAATCGAGCAAAGGCGCACAGGCAAATTCTCATACGTACCGTTTTCCCTGGAGGAATCGTCACTTTGTAAGTCGTCTGATAAGCGACTTCCTCGGACAAAGTCTCGTCCCACTGGTTTCCAAACTCTTGCTCGGCTCCGATCTGGATCTCGGTGCTCTCGTCGGCAAAGAACGGCACACCGAGCGTCAAAGTCTGCGTGATGCTCTGGGAGAAGGTGAACGAGTTGTGGAAGGACCTGGTGTTGCTCACTGTGGTGGTCTTGCTCACGCTGATCTCCATCTCTGCAGGCTCACTGCCCTTGTTCGTGGCAGATCCATAGGCGACACCGATTGGCTCCTCCTCGCTTGCACTCGCCAGATCTAGCAGGTAAGTCACGTTAAAGATTTGCCTGCTCATCACAGCTTCTTCGACCACGAGGTGGCTTGACGTTTCCTCGTAGTCGGATGCCTCAGCAAAGATCGCGTCCGGAGCGTTGGTGAAGGACGGGCTTCCACGCTTGCAGTAGAGGCCATTGGCACTCTTGAGAGCAACTGTGGTGCTGTTCACTCGGACTGGATCGAACTGGCATTCAGGGTGGTCGGGAGTGTCACCGTCCGGTGTAATCCACTGGGACGCCCTCCAGTAATTGTTTGAAGTCCAGGAGGCGGCTTGGTTGGATCGAAGAGCTATCTTGCCGTTCAGGAGATACTCCACCTGGTAAGGGGGCTGCGAATGGAAGCAAGCAGATGAAAGACGAAAACAGCAGTACCTGGTGGGTGGTAAGACGAACGTCAGCAGATTCTTCTGTGAGCGCGAACGGATCCAGTATGACAGGGTAATCGACCAAGCACGTGAGGTATTTGGCATTGCTACCTTTGAAACCCACGTACTCGGGCATGTTGACAACGTAGTAGGACGACTCCACCACTTCTACCATGGCAAAGATCTCATTGGGCTCCTCGAGCAACGCGCGGTACTGGGTGTTGAAGCGCTTGAGGAAGAGACCGTCTTGGACGGAGGAGAGTGCCACCTTTCCTGGGGCGACCTCGGGCTGGAGCTTGAACCGGTTTGAGGCATCGGTGTCGCTGGGCGGGTTCTTGAGGTCGGCTACCACGGCAGAGGTGGAGGAGTGGCGGCGCCAGAAGTGCTTGTTGGCGGAGCAAATGACGAAGGAGGCGTTGGAATCATTGGCATTGTAGACCGCCTCGTGTGTGGTGTATCGGGTGGTGGTGTCGGACTCGAATGCAAGGGTGCCATCGGACTTGAGCATGAGGTACTTACCATTGTCGGCTTTGAGAGAGAAGAAGCGGGGGAGCTTGAGAACAGGGGAATCTGGATTTGGGATGTGAACCATTGTGGACAGGAGTAACTTGGGCTTAGATTGGGAGAGATAGTGCTATTTAGGGAGGATGATATGATCTCCGCTTAAATGCTCGTAGTAAGATGGTACGTCTGCCTCAGTTATATGCGAGATGACGTAAGTTACAGTAGACATAGACAGGTTCGATATAGAAAAACGGGAAGTCTTCACAGCTGTGAATTTTCTACTAGCTGTTGCTGAAGTTTGCCACCTTAGCTAGAGTTAGCGGCTGAGGAGAGTTTGCACCACATTGAAACACATGGGAGCTTTCGATTAAATTAAGAAAATTAAGTCCTCTGGAGCCTAGCCTTTCTATCAGCCAAAGGGTTGCCCAAGAACAGGGGTTTCATCTCTTCGGGAATGGCATCAAAGAGCTCTCGAGCTTCATGCGTTTGGCCATTTCCTGCAAAGCTGGGGAGCACGGTGCATCCAGAAGTAATGGCTGTTGAACCAGCTCTAGAATAATACCTCCTAGATCAAAGTGAGCAAGACAAATGTCTAATAAAGCTTGTCTAAAATCAATACTAAGAAAAGTATATAAATATTTCACATGAACCAGCTTAGAAAAATACCTCATGAATCAAAGTGACAAATATCCCAAATATCTAATAAAGCTTGTCTAAAATCAGTACTAAGAGAAGTATATTTCACGAGGAGAAAACACATTAGCTCGGTTTCAAGGTTCAGTATCAACAAATACGAAGACCATCTGCTAACATATCAATACCGCCGAAGCTCTGATACATAACACAAGAATAAAAATCAACCCCGGTATCTATAGAGCGAGAGAGACGTAAAGAGGTTCTCTGTTTGAGACTTACGCCATTCTTGAAGAGATTTCCTTTGCGCTGCATTGAGACGGATCCGTGGGCGATGTCTCTTGATCAGGCTCTCGCCTTCCTTCCAGTCGCCCACCACGCCCAATGCCACCAGCAGCGCGCACGTAACAGCCACACTACGCCCATGACCTGTGCACGAACGACAAGCATCCAAATCGTCTAAGGCCCACCCCGCCAGCCAAGATGAAAACTAAAGCACGCTCAATGCGCGTCGATAAAAATCCGGGGAAGAAAGAGGGAAAGATCATCAATGCAGAGGAACAAAATGCCAATCGAAAGAATGCTGAAAGAAGACAATCAAAACATTGTTTTTCAACTAGGCCTAGCTATGGCAAAAGAAGAAAGAAAGAAAAAAGAGTGATGGGGAAGCCTACCTTTGGCACAGTGGATGAGAATGGGATGGTTCTGGGAGCGCTTGACGAGAGCCCAGCGCACGGCTAGCTCGATGCCCTCCGGCGATGGCGATCTGGTATCCCAGGCCGGGATGCACACATAGGGAAGCTCCAATCCCACCGTCCTGGGTAGCTCGTTGGTGCAATCCACGACCGCGGGACTGCCCGGAGGGATGTGATCGCGCTGGAATGGCCACGCCCCACGAACAATCCATCGCAAATCTCCGTGTAGGTGGCCTCGAGGCCCGCGCGCCGGCGGAATCGGACGTAGAGCCGCGTACCCCCTGCAACCGTACTTTTGGAACCCCCTGCAACCCTGCAAGCTTATTCTCAGGTGTATATGAACGGCAATGGGAACACGTCGATTGTTGTATACCCGTCCAACGAACCGCTTGAGTTTGGGACGCTTGGGGCGGTGCAGGGCTCTGAGCTTGGAGCCGTTCGTGTGAGCTCTAAGGGGCAGCAGGCTGCGGGTCAAGATAGACAACAGCCGTCCTCCCCGAATGACCAGCAAAGGTACCAAAACGTTTTATCGATTATTCTGGCCACTGAAACTCGTTTTGCTACTTCAGGCAAAACCAGAGGGCTTACCAAATGAAAGAAGAGGACTTCCCACCTCTTTCTTTCAGAGCGCAGGGAGGGAATAGTTCCACGAGTGGTAACGGGGCTGGCACTCGCAGCTCCCCGTATCAGACGTACGTTGCATCTCAGTCGTGAGTTGGAGCGCACCAGAGCTAAGACTTGCTGTTTGTATATTTTACTATAATTGTAGCTGCTTTTCTAATTGTAAACTGGGCTGTATTTGTTGAAGCTTTAGGCCCGACTTTTTTTTTCTCACTCGGACAACAAGTCGGATGTTTTTAATACTACTGCGTGTCGTGTATGAGCTAATGACATGGCAGGGGAAGTTCGGGGGAGAATTTTGGAGATGAAAACAGCCTTTCGGATCCGATCAGGTTCTGTACGCTTTCGAAATTTTCTTTGCGAGACTAAGTTCTCTGTTCAGATATGAAGACGCTTACGGCGATAGATTGGGCTCTGAACCTGCTACATCTTTTCATTCTGGTACACGGATTTGTTTTCTTTTGTTGGGGGCTCGTTTATTGATTTCTTCAGCTACCTAGGTGTGCGGAGGCTTGATTGTTATAATGGTTCCGGTCATACAAGGAGGGAGTCCCAACTTTTCGCCTGGGTGGTCAGTTGCAGTGATGTAATTATTTGTTCTGGGAATCTAACTTCTTGTTTTATTTGCGTAGGCTTCTTATAATTCTTGGAGGGGTAACGATTGTGGCTGGTGCTTCAGGCATAGGAAGGACAGTCGGTCCTTGCTTCTGGATAAATATCGTCTTCAATTGTTTTGCTGCTCTTGGATCCATCGTGTACTCGTTGGCCTCATTTTCGAACGTACGCATCACCTTTTCACTTTGGGCTCAGCTTCACTCGCTTGTCGCAGAGAGAGAAAGTGGCGAGAAGTTTTCGATCTAAACGCTTTAGTGCGAATGAGGTACATGTTATTCACGAGCTTGGGCTTATCGTATCTTTTTATTGTAGGTGATTGTGAATGTAGGTGGAGTCGTTTATCGGACGTGTTTCATGGGCGTTTTACTTCCTGGTCGTTGCCGAGGTTTGCAAACTATGTGGTATAGCTAAAAGTTTGGCTAACTAAATTGTCGTTCTGTGAAGGTGTTGGGGGTCTTCTTCGGGAGCCTGGCTCGCCAGCTTAAAAACTCGGAAGGACCGCAGGAGAGTTTTGAACGGCGATCTATTGCTCTTCAAAGATTGAGTGTCGACTTGTATGGGTTCCTTTGAGTATTCTTTGGCTATTGATTCATGGGGTGTTGCTATTTCAGGGCCGCGAAAGACGTCCGAAGAGCAAGCAAGAATGCGGATCGCATCGCCGAGAAAATGAAGGATAAATATGGGCAGTAAGCTTATTTTTCTATCGGACATTTTCCCAGTCTTACAATCTTGCTACAGATGGAGCCATGAGTAACGAGTGTTTTCTGTATAACTTGTGATGTGATCCAGCATCGTTTTATTCTATTTCTTATTACCACCAAGGTAGGCCTATTTCGTACCCTTTAGCTTCATGGGAACAGGGAATGATTTATCTGTCCTGAAAGCCAACACACCATCAAAGACACCGTCGATGCATCCATGGAACGGGATCAATGCTGATCACCACCTACACAGTTCCCTGGATACCGACGGATGTGAGCTAATCAGTCGACCAGAGGCGCACAGGCTCAGTCTTTTACGTACCGTTTTCCCCGTTTTCCCTGGAGCGGATCGTGACTGTGTAAGACGTCTGGTGCGTGACTTCAGAGATGCAGCAAGACCACACCAGTGAGCATCCTTCCACAACTCGTACACCTTCTCCCAGAGCATCACGCAGACTTTGACGAACGGTGTGCCGTTCTTTGCCGATGAGAGCACCGAGATCGAAATCGGAGCCGAGGAGGAGCTCGGAAACCAGACACTGTATCCGAGGAGGCGCGCTTCCTTTGTTCGTGGCAGGTCCATAGGTTCGCTCGCACTCGCCAGATCTAGCAGGTACGTCACGTTGAAGATTTGCCTGCTCCTCACAGCTTCTTCGACCGCCAAAACCAAGTCCGGAGTGTTGCTTCCACGTACAGGAGAGGCCGTTGGTCCCTTAAGAGAGATTGTGGTCCTCTTCACTCGGACTGGATCGAACTGGTCTTCTTTCGAAAGTTTTAGTTTTAGATCGCCGTTCAAGGCAATGCTCCAAATATTTTGTTTTTATAAATAAGTGTAAGGATAAAATCATAGGTGGATGCAAAGTTGAGGGTCCCTAGAATTCATACAAAAGTTGGTGAATCTGGCATTTCTCAAGTATGGATTTACTATACGGTGTTCGCGAAATATGAATGCGGATGGATATTTTTCAGTGTTAGTACAGATTTATTTATAACTCGCGATTGTACGGATCTTTTAGTTCTTATTATCACCAAGGTAGAGTGTTCTATTTCGTAACGTTGAGTTTCATGGGAACAGGGATGCGGTATGTCTTGGTACCGTCATATATCTCCGCATCAGTCCTGTAAGCCAGCACACCATCAAAGACACCGTCGATGCGATCCACAGGCTCACGCTCCACACCATTGAGCGACGTGTCCCTCGTCTTGTAGTGGAACGGGACGGCCAGTTTCGCAGTGCTGATCACAACCTGCACAGTTCCCTGGATGGATAGCAGAGGATGTCAGTTAATCAATCGAGCAAAGGCGCACAGGCAAATTCTCATACGTACCGTTTTCCCTGGAGGAATCGTCACTTTGTAAGTCGTCTGATAAGCGACTTCCTCGGACAAAGTCTCGTCCCACTGGTTTCCAAACTCTTGCTCGGCTCCGATCTGGATCTCGGTGCTCTCGTCGGCAAAGAACGGCACACCGAGCGTCAAAGTCTGCGTGATGCTCTGGGAGAAGGTGAACGAGTTGTGGAAGGACCTGGTGTTGCTCACTGTGGTGGTCTTGCTCACGCTGATCTCCATCTCTGCAGGCTCACTGCCCTTGTTCGTGGCAGATCCATAGGCGACACCGATTGGCTCCTCCTCGCTTGCACTCGCCAGATCTAGCAGGTAAGTCACGTTAAAGATTTGCCTGCTCATCACAGCTTCTTCGACCACGAGGTGGCTTGACGTTTCCTCGTAGTCGGATGCCTCAGCAAAGATCGCGTCCGGAGCGTTGGTGAAGGACGGGCTTCCACGCTTGCAGTAGAGGCCATTGGCACTCTTGAGAGCAACTGTGGTGCTGTTCACTCGGACTGGATCGAACTGGCATTCAGGGTGGTCGGGAGTGTCACCGTCCGGTGTAATCCACTGGGACGCCTTCCAGTAATTGTTTGAAGTCCAGGAGGCGGCTTGGTTGGATCGAAGAGCTATCTTGCCGTTCAGGAGATACTCCACCTGGTAAGGGGGCTGCGAATGGAAGCAAGCAGATGAAAGACGAAAACAGCAGTACCTGGTGGGTGGTAAGACGAACGTCAGCAGATTCTTCTGTGAGCGCGAACGGATCCAGTATGACAGGGTAATCGACCAAGCACGTGAGGTATTTGGCATTGCTACCTTTGAAACCCACGTACTCGGGCATGTTGACAACGTAGTAGGACGACTCCACCACTTCTACCATGGCAAAGATCTCATTGGGCTCCTCGAGCAACGCGCGGTACTGGGTGTTGAAGCGCTTGAGGAAGAGACCGTCTTGGACGGAGGAGAGTGCCACCTTTCCTGGGGCGACCTCGGGCTGGAGCTTGAACCGGTTTGAGGCATCGGTGTCGCTGGGCGGGTTCTTGAGGTCGGCTACCACGGCAGAGGTGGAGGAGTGGCGGCGCCAGAAGTGCTTGTTGGCGGAGCAAATGACGAAGGAGGCGTTGGAATCATTGGCATTGTAGACCGCCTCGTGTGTGGTGTACCGGGTGGTGGTGTCGGACTCGAATGCAAGGGTGCCATCGGACTTGAGCATGAGGTACTTACCATTGTCGGCTTTGAGAGAGAAGAAGCGGGGGAGCTTGAGCAATGGGGATTCTGGATTTGGGGTGTGAGCCATTGTGAACAGGAGTAACTTGGGCGTAGATTGGGAGAGCTACTGCTATTTAGGGAGGATGATATGATCTCCGCTTAAATGCTCGTAGTAAGATGGTACGTGTGCCTCAATTATATGCGAGATGACGTAAATTACAGTAGACATAGACAGGTTCGATATAAATAAAGGGAAGTCTTCACAGCTGTGAATTTTCTACTACCTGTTGCTGAAATTGCCACCTTAGCTAGAGCTAGCGGCTGAGGCACATTGAAGCTTTCGATTAAATTAAGAAAATTAAGTCCTCTTGAGCCTGGGGAATGGCATCAAAGAGCTCTCGAGCTTCATGCGTTTGATTTCCTGCAAAGCTGGGGAGCCCGGTGCATCCAGAAGTAATGGCTGTTGAACCAGCTCTAAAATAATACCTCCTAGATCAAAGTGAGCATAAGAAAAGTATATAAATATTTCACATGAAACAAGTAGAAAAATACCTCATGAATCAAAGTGACAAATATCCCAAATATCTAATAAAGCTTGTCTAAAATCAGTACTAAGAGAAGTATATTTCACGAAGAGCTCAGTTTCAAGGTTCAGCATTAACAAATACGAAGACCATCAGTACATAACATATCAATACCGCCGAAGCTCTGATACATAACACAAGAATAAAAATCAACCCCGGTATCTACAGAGCGAGAGAGAGGTAAAAAGGTTCTCTGTTTGAGACTTACGCCATTCTTGAAGAGATTTCCTTTGGGCTGCATTGAGACGGATCCGTGGGCGGTGTCTCTTGATCAGGCTCTCGCCTTCCTTCCAGTCGCCCACCACGCCCAATGCCACCAGCAGCGCGCACGTAACAGCCACACTACGCCCATGACCTGTGCACGAACAACAAGCATCCAAATCGTCTAAGGCCCGCCCCGCCAGCCAAGATGAAAACTAAAGCACGCTCAATGCGCGCCGATAAAAATCCGAGCAAGAAAGAGGGAAAGATCATCAATGCAGAGGAACAAAATGCCAATCGAAAGAATGCTGAAAGAAGACAATCAAAACATTGTTTTTCAACTAGGCCTAGCCTATGGCAAAAGAAGAAAGAAAGAAAAAAGAGTGATGGGGAAGCCTACCTTTGGCACAGTGGATGAGAATGGGATGGTTCTGGGAGCGCTTGACGAGAGCCCAGCGCACGGCTAGCTCGATGGCCTCCGGCGATGGCGATCTGGTATCCCAGGCCGGGATGCACACATAGGGAAGCTCCAATCCCACCGTCCTGGGTAGCTCGTTGGTGCAATCCACGACCGCGGGATTGCCCGGAGGGATGTGATCGCGCTGGAATGGCCACGCGCCCACGAACAATCCATCGCAAATCTCCGTGTAGGTGGCCTCGAGGCCCGCGCGCCGGCGGAATCGGACGTAGAGCCGCGTACCGGCGAGGTAGGGATAGAAGAGGAGGGAGCTCCAGAGCGGGAAGGAGCCGTGCAAGGATTTGGCGAGAATGCGCGGATTGTTGATGCCCGGGTGGGAGAAGAGGGCTACAGTGAATCCGATCAGTGAAGTGTGGAGGAGAGGGAGGAGGAAGATCCGATGGCGGATGCTGCCGTTCAATGCCGCCCCCGCCGCGAGGATGAGAGCCGCGGGAATGCCTACTGCTAGTGAAATTCCCATGAGCCCCAAGAAAAACCCTAAAGCCAGTTATGCTTGGCATATGCTCGCATTTAAGTTGTAGCTAATTAACTTTTAACAATAATCCGTATTTTCAATTTTTGATTCATTACTTTAAATTTCAATTTGTAAGGTTTGTAAATATATACATGTATATACATGTATTACTCTGGCTAGGCATTATAATACTATAGCATATAAATTATCCATTTGAAGCTGAATATGGTCCATTCATTCTTGTATATAAATAATGGGCTAAACCTCAATTAATATATTTATTCATATACTGCAATTTATCTTTAAAAGGCAAAGTTTTTTCGTAGTGTTTTACATAGTGTTCAGGTGTTTTTTATTTTTATTTCTTCATTCTCTTTTAGATTTAGATTTATGTTAGCTTTTTGTGAAATCTAAAACTTTAATTATCACTGTGCTTAGATTTACTCTTTCTTCTGATATTTATTGTATTCTCTTCTTATATTATACCACACTTTCATTAATCCAGAAGTATTTCACTTGTTGCCAATATTGCTCTGTTAGATTGAACTTTTGGTGTTGTGAGGTGTAATTATATTAGTGTTGCACTCATCCTTGATATGTTGCTATCTCCAACTTCTTTGGGACGTAATTACATAGTTTATTCTATTCTTGGTGTTTTGCCATCTTTTGTTGATGTGGAGCGTGATATCAATTGGCAAGCTATGGATAATGTAATTTGGTTCTTGGAGAATATTTGAGGATCAAATTTATAAGAGTATAATATTTACAAGCTTGAATGGATTTTGGATTGTGATAAGGAGCTTGATTATTATGGAGATAACTTTGGAGATAAGTTGAAGATTTTGTAGGGAAAACAATTTAAGTTCTTTACCATTTATAATGTTTATAAATGTTTAAAAAGGAATAGATATTAATCTTTTAATTTGTGATTTAATCCTTTTTCTTTACCTTTTGTTCTTTCCTAATCTTTTTTTATTTTTTGACTTAAGACATATATTCTTAATGTTCCTTCCTTATCTACAATATTTCCTTTTTCTGGCATATTGATCATTTTTTACTTTTATGATTCTCATTTTCAATTTAGTGTTGAGTTGAATATTTTTTATCCTCTTTATACTAATTTAAATCTTGAGTGTGTGCAGAAAGTTGAGAATCTTATTTTTGTTTCTTTGGCAAAGTCTTCGATTAATTGTACTGTTGAGTATTCCCCTATCTCTAAGGTTAAATTATTTTGGCTAGTATTTTGGGTTGAGTGCATATCTTTGATTATGAGTGTTGTTGAAAGTGTTTGTTTTATTGTTGCTATTGAGGGTTTTATGTGTTCTTCTGAGAGTACTATTAATTTTCTTATCTTAAATATTAAATTGTGTGTTAATGAGGTTGAGCAGTATGAATTTTTTACTTATTTCGTGTTAGCCAAAGTATTTTATCACAATAAATCCTTTGTTCTCTAAACTTTGAACATATTTCTTTCTTTCTTTTTTTCCTATTTTTACTTTGACAATTGTTAAAAATTTCTTCTCAAAATTTCTTTATCCACTTTTTCTTTTTCCACAATATTTCTTCCTCCCTTTTTCATTTTCTCCTTTTTGCCTTGACACTTTAAACTTTTTTTTTTTCAAATGAGGGCGTTGTTAGGATCCTATCCCTTACACCCTAAGCCAACTGGCTAAAGGGGTGATCACTTGATTGTAGGGCCCTTTCTTTATCCTATTATCCTGACCTGGTGCCTAACAATCCTCCCCTCGTCAGGGAATGATCGTCCTCGATCATACTTAGGCCATCCTCCGGTCACCATGGTCCTTCTCTTAGGGTCTACCAAACCTTGGTTCTCCCTCTAGATTCACCATGTTGAATATTCCTTTAGAATATTTTTGCCCCACTCGTCAGCCACGAGAATCGAACTAAGCTCCGATACCATTGTTAGGATCCTATCCCTTACACCCTAAGCCAACTGGCTAAAGGGGTGATCACTTGATTGTAGGGCCCTTTCCTTATCCTATTATCCTGACCTGGTGCCTAACAGGCGTAGAGGGGATGGACGGGAATTTTAACCCCAATGATAGAGTGAAGACGAATGAATATAATAGTGGAGCAAAAATGAATAATATAAATTGTGAAGTAAGGATAAACATAATGAGTCAAAATGAAACATCCAACCCCGATATAGTGAAGCACAATTAATACAATAGTGAAATGAAGTTGAATATAGTGGTAGAATGAGGACAAGTGTAACAAATCCAAATGGAGCTAGTGCCTCAGAATTATTTTTCCTTTGCACTACATGAGCAATAAAGTGATACTCATCTTTTCACAAAATTCTAAATTCTCTTCTAATCCCCTTTCCCTATGTTAGATTGGATTTAAAGTTATTTACACTCTTCATAAGCATAAATAGTGAGTAAACTAAGCCTCCAAATTTTTAACATCCTATAGTACAATAAAATTTATTCATATGACTTTATAAATCCTAAGCTTTAGGTGAATCTTTTAATTCAAAATTTCAAAGGAAAATACTGTGGCTTAATGGTCTGGTATAAGTACCTCAACTCCCCACCTCCATCCCAAAGGGAAAAGATAAAGAGTAATAATCTTTATGGTACTCAAGTGAAACACCATTCTACCTAAGCTAAAAACACTAGAGTCAATTTCCTTTTTAAAAGTGGGAATTGCTATTAAACTAAATTTTATTAATCCCTAGTTCCAACTTAAATTTAGTTAAGAAATATTATTAGAGAGTTTCATCAAGACTAAGTCTTTAGCCTTACTATCTTTACTATATTTTGGAACTCCTTGTACCACTTTTTTATAAGCAATCACTTGTGAGACACAAAATCCCTAGGCCCCAAAGTGGAGCCGGAAGGGTGCCACATGGTAGAGGCCGAAGCGAGAGCCAAACGAGCGTAACACGTTTGGACCAAAAGCTCCGACTTGAAAAGTCAAGAGCGGGAGTGGAACTCCCAACGAAGTGCTCGAGGAACGAGCACGAAGCGAGCAAAAGGCGAGGCTCCAAAAAGGGACCCAAAAGGACCAACACATGACACGTGGGAGTGTCCGAGATGGAGTCCGAAGTGGAGTCCGAGGTGGACCCGAAGTGGAGTCCGAGATGGACCCGAGATGGACCCGAAATGGAGTCCGAGATGGAGTCTGAAGTGGAGTCCGAGGTGGACCCGAGTTGGAGTCCGAAGTGGAGTCCGAGATGGACCCGAGATGGACCCGAAATGGAGTCCGAGATGGAGTCCGAGATGGACCCGAGATGGACCCGAGATGGAGTCCGAGATGGAGTCCGAGATGGACCCGAGATGGACCCGAAATGGAGTCCGAGATGGAGTCCGAGATGGACCCGAGATGGACCCGAGATGGAGTCCGAGATGGAGTCCGAGATGGAGTCCGAGATGGACCCGAGATGGAGTCTGAGATGGAGTCCGAGATGGAGTCCGAGATGGACCCGAGATGGACCCAAAATGGAGTCCGAGATGGACCCGAAATGGAGTCCGAGATGGAGTCCGAGATGGACCCGAGATGGAGTCCGAGATGGAGTCCGAGATGGAGTCCGAGATGGACCCGAGATGGACCCGAGATGGAGTCCGAGATGGAGTCCAAGATGGAGTCCGAGATGGAGTCCGAAGTCGAGACCGAGAACGAGATCGAGACCGAGACCGAGACCGAGACCGAGATCGGGACCGAGACCGAGGCCGAGGCCGAGCCCGAGGCCGAGGCCGAGGCCGAGGCCGAGCCCGAGCCCGAGCCCGAGTCCGAATCCGAATCCGAGTCCGAGTCTGAGTCCGAGTCCGAGTCCGGAGCCTGAGAGGGTGAAAGCCCAAAGCGTTCGTCTCCCAGACCCTTGGGGGTTTGGTGAGCTCCAAAAGTATAGTAAGGGGGAGGACTGCAATGGAGCCAGTTTGGCCAGGAAAGGCCAGTTTGGCCCAGGAAGGCCGGACCCAGTGTTGGGTGATGAGCTGCCCACTGGGAAGTCCAAGACTAGAGTGAACACGGACCGACAAGCGAGGTAGCTTGGTGAAGTGTTCAAGAGCCGGCTCTAGTTCCCCCGGGAGATCGACTGGCCGATGCTCCCAGTCCAAGTGTGGGTGGCACTACCTACTTGGATACCAGGCGTGGCTCAACGGAACCTCGCTCTAAGCCCATGGCTAGAGCACCTAAAGGCGAAAGGCGGGGAGAGTACCCAGGTGGCTCGCGTAAGGCCACGGTGTTCCGAAATGTTGTCCCAAAGGCCTAGACTGTGGAAAGGAAGAGGAGCAGTCCTCTGTGGTAGTGACCAAGGACACAGTCGTGTGGTGAGGGAGTCCCAGAGGACCGTGGAACTTAGTGGTCGGGCCTGTGGGCCTCGATCCAGTGGCAGTGTTGGCAAACACGGCCAGGGGCAGAAAGGGACTTGGTAGGAACTGACAAAAGGGACTTTGGGGAAGGCGATTCCCCCGGTCTGTGGGCATCCTAAGGATGCTAAGGAGTGGATCTAGGATGACCACTCGTGGACAGATGGCCCAGTCTTGGAGAGCCAAGACTGTGATGCAAGTGGTATTGGACTACCAGTGTGGCAAAGGTGATTGGGCATGGCCTTAGCGTAATGGGCTGCTATGTCGGTGGTACCTTTGAGTGTCGGTCATGGGATCGGACACGTGGAGCACTTGGACCAAGTGCAAATGTTGAGTGGCATGGATGCCATTCTCGGGGCTAGCAAGTCCCAAGTCCTGGATTGAACTTATGGAGGTTGTGAATGAGACTCCTCCAAGTGGTCGGAGGTGTGGTTAAGTGACTAAAGTAGAATGGAAAAATTAGTCGCTTACATCACTTAATTGTAAAGTCATTTTCTATTCTATTATCAAAAGATGATATATAGGGTTTAAATATAAAAAATTATCTATAGAGGTTTAAATATAAAATGAAAATAGTCCATGAATAAAATTTTTTTCCTTTTAGTTAAGGGATTTTGGATATTTGAGGTTAAATGTCTTTGTGTTTAAATAATATTAAGCCCTAAGAAGTTTAAATTCAAGAGATTAATCTTGAACCTTAGTCTTATTTAATAAATTTTTTATCATTCTGAGCATAATTTCAGTGGATTTATCTACGATATATCAAAAAATTAATTCCTTGCAACTTTATGGGCATTTAAATAATTTACAAGGATGTTGAAAAATGATTTGTCATTGAGGGAAATAACTGTTAACTCCAAAGCATCCATTTTCATAAAAGCCGTCTTGATCTTTTAAAAAAATGACATTAAGTTAAAATACATTTGAAAAAAATTAAAATTAAATTTAATAATACCTTTTACAATTCGCATATACACCCTATTATTTCTCTATGAGTAATAGAATATTTTTTTGCTTCACAAGCATATGTAGAAAAAAACGAAGCCGCTAATAGTCTTAGTAAACTCCTTATACATAGTTTTATTCAGATTTGCCTTATACATAGTCTTATTTAGGCTTGTAATGAATAACATTTGGCATCTGTGGAACCAAGTTTTGTGATAAGTTTGCTGTAGCCTAATGGCTATGACATTTAGATTGATTTCATAGTTAAATTGAAAAAATAAAGAACAATAAAACAATTAAATTTAAAATTTATAGACACTTTACCTCATGATATATTTAATTTTACTCACTTGAAATATCATTATTAATCTTACTTTCATTTTAGTTTTCAATTTGTAAATTTTTTAAGAAGAACAAAAATACTTTATAAGAACAATAAACTTGCAAAAATGATTTTTCTATATTAAAAGCCTTCTTTTACAATGTAATATCTAAGATTTGCCACAATAAATAAGGCATAATTTACATCCATAATTGTTTATATAAGGCTTTTAGATTCTTCATAACATACATTAAGCTAAACAATTTTAACTACACCAAAAATATGTAGAAACATGAAATTTAATCTATATGTTTTCTCATTATTATAGCAATTCCACATCATAACCTCTCCAATGATACTAAATTTGAAAAGAAATCTAATTTTAGGATGAAGAAAAACAAATTAAAGTGGGAAAATGAATATGCCCATCAAATGTCATCATATAATTTACAAAAGTGGACATTAAATAAAATCATGTGTTAACCTGCAAAATAACATCTAGACTAGGTGGGACCAAATGGCCGAGAATATCGGCCACGTGGCACAAATGCTCCAAGCTCTCAATAAAGTGAACCAATAATCAAGCTTGGACATGCGACTTTTTCTCATCATGGGTCACGCTGATTTGAGTTCCAAGCTCCAAAGGGTCCTCCTCCAGCATCAGGTGCGTCTGAAGCCCGTACCTTTTAGCTCTTCCAGGGATTCTCACGAAACTCTCAAAGTCTACGACGATTCCAGGCTCCAGTTCATCCAGGAGATGCTCGACCAGGAGGATGAGCCCGAGGATTCTAGCCAGGAGGCCCAGCAGGTTCTTAGCGGATTGCTGGATGAGCTCACAGCAATCGTCTCTTCTTACCCTTCTTCCTCCTGTTCATCAGATCAAGATGAGCTCCAAGCGCCCACTTCTCCGGCTAGTAATCCAGTGCTCGCGAGGAGCGATGGAGCAGATTTGGAGGGTCTGCTAGTGGCATGTGCTGAAGCAGTGGCCGCCAACGACTCAGCACAAGCGTACGAGCTCGTGGAAGAACTGACAAGCTTTGCATATTCTGGAGAGAGCTCCCTCCATCGAGCAGTGCTCTATTTCACTAATGCCCTCGTCGCAAGGCTGAGAGGATACGGCGCCCAAATGTATAGAATCATGTCCAAGGAGGTGAGCATCAGGCAGACATTGGCAGTGCAAATGAACCTCCCAGTTCTCCGAGCCACCGAATTTTTTGCGAACCAGACTATCCTCGAGGCTTGCCGGGGACAGAGGAACCTTAAGCTTCACATAGTTGACTATGGGATCTTCTACGGCTGCCAATGGCCATCGCTCATCGAAGCTCTCTCCCAGCGAGACGAAGGCCCTCCAAAGAAGATGATGATTACCGGGATCGAGCTTACGAGCATTGCGGAAGCCTCAATGCGTCAAACTGGCGAGGGCTTGATAGCGTACGCAAAGTCGTGCGGGGTCCCACTGGAGTTCCAGCCCGTGGTAAGCAACACTTGGGAGAAGGCCGAGCCGCGGTACCACCTTTCCTCGGACGAGTTCTTGGTTATCAACTGTAAGCTGCGAATGAGGCACTTGAGAGAGGATGGTTACATCCTAATGGAGAGCCCCAGGAAGATTTTCTTCAAGAACATTGCTAGGCTCAAGCCAGCATTGTTCGTGCAGTGTGTGGTTACCACCGACTTGAGCTCCCCGTTTTTCATTCACCGCTTCCGGGAGGCCTGGAGAGATATCCACATCAGAATGGAGCAGATTGAAGAGACTATGCAAGTGATTGATCCGCCCAAGCTCGAGTATCTCAACAGGTTGATGGAGAAGACCGTCATGAACATGGTGGCCTGCGAGGGAGCCGATCGGATTGAACGCCTCAGCTCGTACAAAACCTGGAACTATTTGGCAACGAGAGCAGGGTTTGAGAAGCTGCCCATCAGCAATCAAGCGCTGCAAATGGTCAAGCTTGTGTGGACGAGCCACAAGAAGTTCACGTATGGAATCGATGAGAAGTGGCTGCTTCTGGGATGGAAAGATGTGACTTTGACGGCGATGAGTGCATGGCAACCAATGTGTAGTACTTTCCCCTTCATTAAGGAAAAAAATTAAGATTAGGTGATCACCTGACAAGAAATACCAAAGCTGGGCGCCTAACAATGGATAAGGTGCCCAAGAAAATTTGAAGGTAGAAGAGAGATGTTTTAGACTTCATATAGTACTTAAATCTGTTTATAAAAGTTTGTTCATCTTTTAAAGAGAGTTGGAATACCTTTTCGCAGCATCTGGGGCTGCAGCATGTTTTCCATTTCTTGACGCTCTTGCAAGGGAAGTTCTTGCCAGTTCATTAGCTGTTCTAGAGCAAGTTTTGTTCGTCTTTTTTGTAGCTGAATTGAGGCATTCGGGAATTTTCGAGCTACATTCCTGCGGCTCTTTAGTTGACACTTCCACATTTGCAATTAGGATCTAAAACATATACTAAATGGAAACTGTGAACAAATATGTTATACACACTGTGCAAGAGAAAATGGAGCCACGATTTGTCAAAATGTTTGTGAAAAGTGATTGACAGTTACAGATACTGCGGATTCCGCGCACTCCATCGTGGAAATCAAAACTATGCACCAAGGAAATCAAAATAATGGGACACGAATATCTGTGCTCCAAGCTCCAGCTGGCGCTCCTCCAGCACCAGGTACGTCTCAAGCCCGTCAATCTATCCTCGCCCGGGGATTCCCATAGAAAAGCCCTCAAACTCCAGGCTCAAATGCATCCAAGACATCCTCGACCAGGTGGAGAAGAAGCCCCCGATGGAGATTCGGAAGAGATTGTCGCGATGAGCTCGACCAGCAGTTCCTGGTGCCGCTGGTCGTCGCCCTGGTGGAGCTGCTCGTCCTCCTAGTGATCCACTCACGAGCGATCCGGCACACTTCGAGGGTCTCCACATGGCTTGTGCACAAGCAGCGGACGCCAAAGATCCGGCATGCAGAAGCATTGACAAGGCTTGCCTCGTCGGGAGAGAGTTCACGATCAGCGCTCTACTTCACCAATGCACTCGTCGCGAGATTGAGAAGATACGGAGCTCAAATGCATCACATCATGTGCAGGGACGTGAGCTGAGCACCAGGCAGACTCTGGCCGTACAAATGAACCTCCCGATCCTTCGAGCCACCGAGTTCTTCGCGAACCAGACCATCCCCGAGGCTTGCCGGGGAGCGTAAATATCTCCACATAGTTGACTATGGGATCCTCTACGGCTACCAGTGGCCATCGCTCATCGAAGCTCTTTCCCGGCGAGCGGAAGGTCCTCCAGAAAAGATGATGATCACTGGGATCGAGTTCACCCACACGGCGGAAGCTGTGATGCGTCAAACCGGAGATAGGCTGACAACTTACGCAAACTCTTGTGGGATCCTACTGGAGTTCTAGCCCGTGGCAAGCAACACTTGGGAGAAGGCCGAGCCGGGCTACCACCGGACGAGTTCCTGGTGATTCACTTGCGAGAGAGGTCCAAATGCGAGGATTTGCTTGCAAGCACGGGCTCAAAGCTATGCTAGAACACCAAGATTTTTCCCACAGTCTTGCAACAAACAACGTGCGCTAGTCAAGGTCGTTGTGCAACAATAAATCTGTAAAGAAACAAGCCCTAAATTTAATTCATAGTTTTTTGAACCCATCTTTGCGTGCTCAAAGAAGAGAAAGAAAATGGTTTGGCTGGAACACACGGCTTTGACGAAGGAAACGCGACCTCACCAACCAAATCCTTTAACTGTAGAAAGACCGGAAGCTTTCCTGCCGCAATCGCCTACAATAGCTCCATCTACCAAGACTTGGATTGAGAAAATTTTGATCCCGGTCCGAGGTATAAAAGGGAAGCCTAGAGCCAAGCTAGAGCAAGTTGAGGCAAGGAAAGCCTAAGTTTCTTCGTCAAGGTAACTAGCAAGAGCTCTCGATTTGGTTGCTTCGATCCAATTGAATGGTTTCGAATCTCCTTGCACAGCAGTCCACATTTCTACCAAGATCCAAATGGCCCCTTCCACAGTCACCAAGGAGCTGCCCTGCGCGATCCCTGCTCCAAAGTTGTGGGCAGCGATCATGGACGCTCACTTGCTCGCCAAGGCCGTCAAGCCCGTGGTGACTGGCGTGGAGGTCGAGGGCGGCGACGGTGTGATTGGAAGCATTAGAACTGTGAACTTCAATGCTGGTAAGAAAGATCACTGCTATCATTCCCATCTCTCGGTCATGTTTGCTTTCGCTTGGCAGAGATCGTTGGATTCCCTTACGTCAAGGAGAAGCTGACGTCTTTGGATGAATCGAGCATGACCATTGGCACCTCTATGATCGAGGGAGGATACCTTGGCTCGCAGCTCAAATCTCATTCCGCCACCATCACCGTCAAGCCCAATGGCCAGGGGAGCGTTATCGTGTGGGTGCTCCAATACGAGCCTTTGGTCGAGAACCCCAACATTGACGAGATCGTCGAGGGCTTTGTCAAATCCTTCAAGGCGATCGAGGCCTACCTCCAGTCCACGAACTAGATTCGTGCAGATCTAGACTTCTTTCTTTCTCGGGTTTTGTTTGATCCAAGGAATAAGTTTCTCCTCGGTGAGTGTGATGAAAGAAACTCTTCTTTGCCCTCTCGGGCTTCACTCTAGGTGTAGATCTTGCCAAGGAGAAACTGTTGGCGAGAGAGATCCACGCGAAGGATCCAGGATCGTGGGAGATCAGGCGCTGAGCAGCAATCACTCCCCTGCCCGGATCGCTGTAGATCCGGCACGCCCCAGCCAGGCATCCCCAATCGATCGCATCGGGGATCCAGGGCATGGACCGCATGAGCTCCTCGGCATCGCCCAAGTGACCCGATCGCGCCAGGAGGTCCACCACGCAGCTGTAGTGCTGCTTCCCGGGCGTAATCCCATGATCCATGCTCATCGCTGCGAAGCAGCATCGCCCATCGTAGACCCGCCCCCAGCGGCTGCAAGCCACGAGAAAGGCCGTGAAGAACATCCCGTCCGCCATGCCCAGAGCTCCCAATCGCTCGAATTCGTGGAGGAATTCTGCTAGATCACGGGTGTGGGCGTAGCAAACGAGCAGCGCCGCGCAAGAAGACGCACAATGCTGCTCCGGCATAGCCAAGCTCAGGCGCTCCGCCGCGTCCACCCGCCCGTTCTGCGCGTAGGCACACACCATCGCCCGCCACGCCACCTGGCTCCGATGTGGCATGCCAGCAAAGACTAGTCTCGCCTCGTCGGCGAACCCGTTCTGGGCATATGCCGACAGCATGGCATTCCACGTCACAGAGCTGTGACATGGCATAGCGTCGAACAAGCTCCGTGCCACGTCGACATGACCGTGCTGGGCATAGCCCGCCAGCAAGGACGTCCAGCTCACAAGATCCCTGCACGGCGATTGGTCCAGGAGCTGCTGAGCCAGCGCCACATCACCCCCGGCACACAGTCCACTCAGCATCGCGTTAAGCGTCACGACGCTCATCTCTGGGATCGTGGCTAACAAACGCTTGGCAGCGTTGAGATGCCCGTTTTGGGCATAGGCGCTCAGCATTGCGGTCGCAAGGACGAGATTGATCTCTGGAGTTTGAGCTAAGAGATTCTCGGCTTGGATCACGTTCCCAGCTTGGGAATGAGCAGCGATCATCGTGGCCAGAGAGGCGAAATTCTTTTCTTCCATGCGATCGAAGAGTAGCAGGATCGAGTCAAGTTTCCCTGCCAGGGAAAGCACTGAGAGCATTAGATTCCAGGACACACAATCCCGTTCGGGCATTTGATCAAAGAGATCCTTTGCTTCATCTACAGAGGCGCAGCGAGTATATATCCCCAGGAGTGAATTCCAGGAAACCGAGTTCCTTGCTGGCATTGCATCAAATACCCTTTTCGCGGATTCCAGATCGTCGCACGCCGATAGCAGCGAATTCCACGAAACCAAATCCCTCTCTGGCATATCACGAAAGAATTTTCTCGCCATCTCAAGGCTGTCGTGGCTCGCCGCTGCGAACAAAAGTGTGTTCCAGGAAATAAGATTTCTCACTGGCATCTTTTCAAAGCTTTCAAGACAGTCTTGCAAATGCCCGTGTTGGGCATGTGCCTGAAGCATTGCGTTCCACGAGATCAGATCTTTTCTCGGCATTGAATCAAAGAACAGTTTGCATTCTCTTATACAGAATATGTCACATATTGCTGAAAAGAGCGAGTTCCAGACCATCATACTCCAGCATGGCATTCTTTCCAGTAAGCTCAAAGCATATTCTAGATCTCCATTTCTGGCATTTGCTGCAACCATAGCAGTCCAAGACACAAGATTTCTCTCGGGCATCTGGGAAAAAATCTCTTTTGCAGATCCAAACTTGCCAGTTCTAAAGTAGGCATCCAGCATTGAATTCCAGCACGCCACATCCCGCTCCGGCATCGCATCAAACACCCGCCTGGCATCGTCAACACGGCCATTCCTGGAGCACGCCAAGAGAAGCATTCCCCACGAGAAGCAGTCCCTGCGATCGAGAGGGATGGAATCAAACACCTCCCTGGCCAGCGCCACGCTCCCACACCGCCCATACATCTCAATCACCCTGTTCCACACCAGGAAATCGCCACGGCTCTTGGGATGACAAGCCCAAGCGCGGTGGAGCTCCCGCGCCCTGGAGAGGCTCCTACATGAAACAATCTCTTCCAGGCAATCCAGCTGACTCGGCAAAAGTGAGATCTATAGCTATTCTTACGGCAGTGTTCTTGAAAGTCAATGGGTGTTCACAAGGAATAATTTTCCACGTCCCTGGCATACTGGACAAGTGCTTGTTTTCTTCAAACGGAGATAGCCATCAGAGCTCTAAAACAAAAAAAGCTTTTCGATCTGAAGATGTTCAGCATTTTGCAAGCTTTGCGACTGGATCCAGCGCGTTGAGCTTCTTCTCCATGGCCTGGACGTGGATCTCTTTACCCCAATCTATCTATCTATCTATCTATATTCTGTTTTGGCAGTCTTGCGGTGCCCAACAAGAATGTGCAAACAAGTTTGCAAGTTTGTTGTGGGGGTCTTCTCGCTCCCTCCATCTCCACGCTCACGTTCCTCCCGGATGTTTGTGCAGGCCGCTAGAACAGCGACGTAAGTCGACGCTCGATTCGCCCATCGCCTCGAGCTCTCAAGGATTCCGGAGAGAGAGATCTTCTCGCTCGCGCCCTCGTAGTTTATTCATCCAGAGCGTTTAAGTGGAGGAGCGCATGGGGTTCCACTTGATCATTGGAGCCGTGAAACGAGCAGCCAACACGCAAATCGAGATACAGTTGAACTTGACTTGGTTTAGCTGGAACACACGGCTTTGACGAGACCTCCAACAACCAAATCCACTAACCGAGAAATTTCCTTGCCGCAATAATAGCTCCATCTTGGAGCTGAAGCCTAGAGCAAGCTGAGCAAACACTTCCCTTCGTCAAGGTAAGCCAGAGCTTTCGATTTGGTTGCTTCGATCCAATTGAATGGTTTTGAATCCCTCTTGTGCAGTAGTCAACATGGCCCCTTCCACAGTCACCAAGGAGCTGCCCCTCGCGATCCCTGCTCCAAAGTTGTGGGCAGCGATTATGGACGCTCAATTGCTCGCCAAGGCCGTCAAGCCCGTGGTGACCAGCGTGGAGGTCGAGGGCAGCGACGGTGCGATTGGAAGCATTAGAACTGTGAACTTCAACGCTGGTAAGATCATCACACGCCTCTTCTCTCAAGCTTGATCGTTTCCATCATCTTCGCTTGGCAGAGATCGTTGGATTCCCCTACATCAAGGAGAAGGTAACGATTTTGGATGAATCGAGCATGACCATTGGCGCCTCTCTGATCGAGGGAGGATACCTCGGCTCGCAGCTCAAATCTCACTCCGCCACCATCACCGTCAAGCCCAATGGCCAGGGGAGCGTTATGGTGTGGGTGCTCACTTACGAGCCTTTGATCGAGAACCCCAACATTGACGGGATCGTCGAGGCCTTTGTCAAATCCTTCAAGGCGGTCGAGGCCTACCTCCAGTCCACGAACTAGATTCGCACAGATCTAGATGTCTGTCTGGGGTTTTGTTTGATCCACGGTCGATCAATCGAGTGTTATGAAAGAAACTCTTCTTTCCCCTGAGAGATCCACGCGAAGGAGAGCAGTGATCACTCCACTAGGAATTCCGCGAGGTTGCGGGTGTGGGCGTAGCAAACGAGCTACTCAAGCTCAAGCGCTGCATCCACGGGCCAGTTGTGCGCCACGCCACCTGGCTCTGATGTGGCATGCCAGACAGCATGGCATTCCGCGTCATGGAGGTGCTCCAGCAAAGACGTCCAGCTCACATGTCCCTGCACGGCGATTGGTCCAGCCAGCGCCACATCACTCCTGCAAATAGGTGGCATAGAAGATCATGGGACCCCGTGGGGCATCAGATCTGTTACAAACATTCTAGTTTGTAGTTTTGAGGAGAGAATTTGAAGGAGTTGCATCTGAGAGCTTGTGATATTGTGGCCACTTCAGTGTAATTGCTGCCAAATATGTAAAAGCTAGACATTTGTGTGTGGTGTATACCAACCTTCACCTCAAATACCAAAGCCATCCCTCCCAAGGGATTGGAGAGACCACTACCCAACTACTGAATACAAACAATGCCCTTTAGCCTGATATGCTGCAAAGATCTTCTTGTGCTTCTGTCCAAGAGGCCAATAGAGCTCAACACCTTTATCCCGCATAGTATTCACCATTTGCAGATACCGCATAAAGGTTGTCGCCTTGTAGCCATGTATTAAACGCTTTTTCCATCTATAGCGCTTGGGACATAAGCAAACAAACGCGTTGCAGTCACAAGGACGAGATTTACCTGTGGAATTCGAGCATAGAGATTCTCGGCTTGGATCACATTCCCATGGATCATCGTGGCTAGCGAGGCGAGATTCTTTTCTTCCATGCGTCCAAGAGTAGCTGGATGGACTCAATTCCAGCCAGGGAAAACACTGAGAGCACTAGATTCCAGGACACACAATCCCGTTCATCGATGAGGTTCTTTGCTTCATCTGCGAGTATAAGCAGTGAATTCCAAGAAACCGAGTTTCTCGCCTGCATTACATCGAATACGATCTGGATTCCAGATCGTCATCCTGAGAACACGGCGATAGCAGCGAATTCCACGAAACCAAAGCCCTCTCTGGCATATCACGGAAGAATTTTCTCTCCATCTCAAGGGCCGCTGTGAACAGAAGAGTTTTCCAGGATATAAGATTCCTCGCTGGAATCTGATCAAAGCTTTCAAGACAGTCTTACAAATGCCCGTGTTGGGCATTAAGCATTGCGTTCCACGAGACCAGATCTTTTCTGGGCATTGAATCAAAAAATCATTTGCATTCATCTATACAAACCGTCACATATTGCCTAAAAGAGGACCATCAAACTCCAGAATGGCATTCTTCCCAGCAAAAGCAAATCTTCATTTCTGGCATTTGCTGCAACCATAGCAGTCCAAGACACAAGATTCCTCTCGGGCATCTGAAAAAATATCTATTTCGCAGATCCAAGCCGGCCAGCTCTAACGTAGGCATCCAGAATCGAGTTCCAGCACACCACATCCCACTCCGGCATAGCATAAAAAATCCGCGATCTTCTCCAGCCAAACATGCGATCGCGGATCTCCAGCTCATAGACGATCTTCTCCAGGAAATCCAGTTGATTCAAGTCAATGAGTAGTCAAGTAATGTCAATACAGTCGATACATTGACTGTTTTGACTTTTTGAGCCTCGCTGTTAATCTCTTGTAGTGAGATTGATCTCACTATACTTTAGAGTGAGATGGCGGACAAATCCATCGGGATCCATGCCTTTACCAGTCACGACTTGGAGGAGCTCCTCGGGAGTCTCATACAAGCGCCCAATGCTGTGAACTTTGTCACGCAGCCACTCGCGCAGTGGCGCAAACATTCCCTGCGCAATGTTTTGGCGGACAAGGCCACCGAGATCTCTATCCGCCGCATCGAACAGCTGACAGGCATAGATCGCTCCAAGAACATAGGTTGGGAAGTATCCAAAGATCCCCAAGCTCCAGTGGATGTCCTGCAAATCCAAGTATCGTGATTCCAAGCTCCAGATAGAAGCGATTCGATCGACTAGACTTGCCTGTAAGCAACCTTGAGCATCGTTTGAAACAGTCACACCGAGGTACTCCTCCATCTTGGCGTTCCAAACGCTGGGAATCTCAGTTACGCTCAAGCTCCCATCAAACAATCCCTTCTCGATCTCGTAGCGGATGAGAATGTGCAAGGGGTACGTGATCTCGTCGGCCTCCACTCTCACAGGCGAGGGCATCACCCTGGTCAGGTAGCGGTAGAAGCCATCGCCCGTTTTTACGCCGTGCTTCGCAAGGCCAGACCCCGGCCAGTAGTGATCCCAGAACTCGCGGCTCAAGCCCACCATACGCTCCCAGAAGAGCGACTGGCTCTCGTGCATTCCCGTGCTAAGCGGTCGCAACGCGATCAAGCCCGGCTCCTCGACTCGCCCTTGCTCGTATAGCGCATGTCCGGTCTCGTGGATCGCCGCCAAGATGCCAAACCTGCGCTGATTCAAAGACGATATTAGATGTTCGAAGAACTTTGAAGAAATCATCCACAGACCTGGGATTGTTCTCGATGAACTTGGACGTGATCCGGACGTCCGAGGGTGGCGAGACTGGAACTGTCATTGGATGGACGGAATCATCCAGCCGACCATTGAAGCCCATGTCCTGGATGATCTTCCTCGCAAGCTCTCTCTGCGGCTCCATTGGAAATGCCACGCCTGGCGTGTCATTATCGGGCTGTTTGATCTTGGCCAGGAGCTCGATGAGGGGCTGCTTGATCCGCTCAAACATGCGATCCATCTTTTGCACCGAGGACCCACGTTCGTGTTCGTCCAGCACGTAGTCATATGGATCCATACCCGGCGACACCACCGCCGCCTCCTCCTTGCGGATCGAGATCCACTCGCTGATAACCGGGGCCATGAGATCGAACCGGTTCTCGCGGCGTGCTTGCTCCCAAGTAGCCTGCGCCGTGACTTCCAGGCCCGAGATCCTCCTGTACAAGCTCTCCCGCGTCTTGATCACTCGGCTGTATTCCCGGTACGCCTCGCGGATCGTGGCACGTTCCATGCCGGAGAGAGTGGAGGGATCGATCTCCCGGGCGCGTTCCAGGCACCTGCCAAGCTCCTCGGAGCTTTGCATCTTGTAGAGGAGCGAGGCCAGCGTTTCGACCTGGCGCTGGCGAGCCTGATGCGCTCCTGCTGGGAGTGTTACCTGTTGATCCCATTGTAGCAGCGCCATGACGCTTCCAATGGCTTCGATCTCCCCGAGCTGCTGCCTGAGCTGCTCCATCAATGAACTTTTCGTACTCTAAACTATTTAAGAATTGCGTTGAGATATTCTTAGGTTAGCACACAAAGAATGTATGCACATTCCGTGCAAGCACAAATGGCCCTACACGAAATGAAAATCTACATGTTTGCACGGAATGTTGACCATCACCAGGTATTTTAAGGAACAGCCCGCTAGAGCTTATAGAGTAGAACGGAAACGAAGCAAACGGTGGAGCACATTGGCCAATCAGGTAACGATCGTTTCTTTCTTTTTACTTCAGGATCTGTTTTCTGATGTTTTTTTTCTAGATGAATTCGGCATTCTTGTGGTTGTTCATTTTGTGTATCATCGTCGCTCGTTCTTACGGATGGAGTCTGGTAAATCCAAGCTTGATACTCCCCACCAAGGCTCACAACATGAGCTCGTTTGCAAGAATGCCAACGGCAATTGAGCCACTCGGGTTCGAGTATAAGGTAAGGTCTTTGCTATAAGCTCTGCGTTTCAAAGGTTTTACATCCTGCAGATCTACTTGAACACAACCAACGAATGGAAGGTTGAAAACGGCTCGTTCTTTACAACTGCACAGCTCCATATTGGAAAGCATCTCTTGGTCCCAGCTCTTAGCGCTCATCCCCGCCAATTTCTTCCAGAAGGCAGTGCGCTCCCTACCCTTGACTCTCTCTCCCTTTCACCCTCCACGAAGACAAAGATGCAAAACATGTATGCCACATACTGTTCCACTTGCCATTGCTTCCACTCGCCTGAACTCCTTTTGGATTTCCTCCACTCTCGTCGCGTCACACAAGTTCTCCACATAAATCGTTTTGGTGAGAAGGCTAGTAACATCTCCATCCATAGCATTGAGCACCTTCCAGAAGTTCGAACCGTGTGTCATCTGGTTCCACACCCATGGGCTGTCTATGCATGCCACTTCATCCCTCAAACCGTTGCTTTGGTGATAAACAAATCCGTGGGTGTCATATGCCATCTCAACACAACCACATTCGATCCTCGCACGCCTGCACTCTTGTGTCTCAACACAGAACCGGGGGAATCAAGCCTTTGCCACTACCTAGTCCAATGTGACATCCTCACTTTCTAAAAGGTTGCAAGAATGATGCAATCACACCGAGTATTTGAGAGTTGACTTGTTTGACCAAAATAAAATCGAACACAGTAGATATACAACTTCTTCTCTAGCAAATCCAATCGAGCTTCTCACTCTCGCCCAAGTGATATTGCGCAACACAATGCTGGATCTTCAGTGCGATCAGTTGTCCTTCTTCACGGCGGCGCTAACAACTTCTTCTCTAGCAAATCCAATCGAACTTCTCACACTCTCACCCAAGTGATATCGCGCAACACAATGCTGGATCTTCAGTGCGATCAGTTGTCCTTCTTCACGGCGGCGCTAGCGGCGGCGAGGTCCTCATCCAGGAGGATGTCCCACAGACCGTCCCAGCGGATGAAGAACTCGGTGTCTGTCACGTACTGGACGCGGTGGACGTCCCCCGCGGGCGTGTAGAGGAAATCCCCAGTCCCCAGATCGAATACCTCGCCCTTGGTCACGTTCCACACGCGCTTACGCCCCTCGAGGACGATCACGTCGTGCCCAAAAGTGTGGTGGTGCGCCGGCTCCAGGCTCCCGGCCTTGAATCGCACCACCGCGCTCGTCGGCTCCTGGCGCAGGATCTTCCACGAGCCCCCGGGCATGATGTCCACCGGATCGAAGCTCCTGGCGCTGGCGAGCTCGCAGATGGCGCAATCGGAACCGGCGGCGCCGCTGGAATTAGGAATCTTCGCACTGGCGGCGCCGCCGATTGCTTCCATCTCGGGCAGGGACTTGTCCAGGAAGGCGTGGATCTCCTCCGGCCATGGATTCCCCTGGTTGGCGGGGCAGGGGGACTTGAATGGCGTCGCCAGCCACGCGTCGACGATCTTCTCGGCCTCCGCCGGGGGAGTGGCGACGGCGCCTAGCGTGATTACGTTCGAGTTGTTGATCGATCGGGCGTTCTGGGCGTCAGCCACGGACGAGCAGGGCGTGGCGTAGATCCCGCGGGACTTGTTGGCGAAGACGCTCACGCCGATGCCGGTGCCACACACGATCAAGCCCTTGAGCGCCGCCGCCTTGTTCTCGGCCACTCGCTGCCCAATTTCTTCGCCCACCTGGTAGTACTTGTCGCCCACGCCGCGATCTTCCACCGCGATGCCCTTGCCGCGCAGATACTCCACCACGTGATCCTTGAGCGCTGCCCCAAAGGGGTCGGCGCCAGCCACGATCGCCGCTTCCTCCCCGCCCATTTCCTTTAGGTCAGATTACTATTTTGCCTTTAAGAAAAATGCAATAACAGTCAATAACAGTCAATAAAAGTCTTCAAAGACTGTGTTGGACTTTCATTGACTTCCATTGACTTTGAGTTGAAATTGGCTCAACTCGTGGGCTTTTGCGTAATTTGGCCAATTGATATGTCCTCCTCACGCTGCATTTGCCTAGTGGAGTGATTTTGTACATTCTGGGGAGAAAATCTTTTTGGATCAATGCAAAACGACACGCAAACTCCGACACGCTTGTGCTGCGACATATAAATATGCATTTCTCTTCTGTGGTCTTTTCCTAGCATTGTAACCAAAGAAACATCTCCTCCCATCAATCACGTCTCGTTGTTCTCCTGTTCATATAGATCTCCTCTCCTCTTTGGTTTCCTTTGATCGATCGATCGATCCATCATCAATCATGGTGGTGGCAAATGTGAAGGTGGAGATTATCCTCAACGTCAATTGCGACCGGGCTTGGGAAGCATTCAAAGATTCCAGCTCCTGGCTTCCAAGAATGATGCCCAATGTCATCCAAAGTTACGAGTACGATGGTGGACGAAGAGGGGCTGGAAGTTTGCGACGAGTCACTTACGGTCCAGGCAAGTTTAAGTTTGCTCCTCCCTAGAATGATGATCCATGTGTTAAGCTTGATCCGATCCCAGCGATGGATAGATTGTGCTTTCGATGATTTACCTGTGCTTGCATTCGTGATCTTGCCCTGCATTGCCGGATCTCACGTAACTTTCCAAGAACCTTTTCACTCCTCCCAAGTTCTTGGGAATTCCACGCTTGAATGAATCTACGGTCTCCCTCGCACGAACTTGAAACGAGTAGAAACGAGTAAGATGATAAAAATATTAAAAGTCTCGCTCTGTCTTTCTTACAGATTTCCCGGCTGGATCTTTCTCGCTGCAAAAGATCCTGGCAGAGGATAACAATTCCATGACATCGACTTACACGCTTGTCGGTGGAAGTTTGGCGAGCAAGTACAGGCATTACGTCGCCACGGTGAGGTTTCGGCCGGGTCCAGCCGATCGATCATCCACCACTGTCGCGAGCTGGAGCCTGGACTACGAATTACGCCCCACTGGCACCAGCAGCAGTAGCAGCAGCAGGGATGATCGTGACTCCACTGACAATGCTGCGAGTCGCTCGCAACAATCGGCGCTAGATGCCTTTAAAGCCCTCGAGCAGTATTTGCTCTCTTCTAGCTAGTAAGAACATTGGTACGGAAGACAAATCCTTGCGAGAACCGCGGAAGAACTTAATGTACGGTTTTCGAGTGGTACCATGTCATACGATTTAATGACATGCGCAACGGACGGAATTAGCTTGGGTTTCCGGTGGATTTCGTTGGTGGCATAAGTGGTTGGCAATTATAATGTTTGTTTCAAAGAAACTTTTTCTTTGTTATCGTTTCTGATATTTTTTTTGCTTTGATCTTAGCGACGTTTACAAATTTTTGTTTCTCCAATCTTGGAACTTTCTTTATTAACTCTCGCCATGAATCGATATACATCTAGAAACCGGGCTAAAAAGGATAGAGGAGGACGAAGAGGAAAGAAGAAAAATTTTCCCTTTTAACCACATTCGCTTGCTTATTCACATACTCTTGTGTTGTCTTGTCATGGGTGTGATATTCCTTCGTTGATCTTTTTTCTTTTTTTTTTCTTGGTGTTGATGCCCGAAAGAATTCTCTGGCCTGAAAATTAAATACCGAGGGAGCAGCGATTGCTGTGGAGTTTTCTTCGCTCTCGTTCGTTGTCTATATAGAAACTCGAAACTCTCGCGCAAGCTGATCGAGTGACAGTAGCAATCAATCGATTTTATCCATATCCCTGTTTTGTTTCTAGCCCCGAATGAAGAATCCAGTCTGTAAAAATAATCTGAATTGGCTGCCACCACCAAACAGTCAGCCACTCTTGAGATCGATGAATCGACTGGAAAAGGAGAGAGAGAGAGAGAGAGAGAGAGAGAGAGAAGAAAATGGAGGAAAACGAAGGAGAGACGAAAATGAAAGAAGAAAGAACGAAAGAACGAAAAGAGAACCTTGTTACCAGCAGCAATAGTTTTTAAGTCCTCCCACGTCGTGCTTGTTTTTGTCGCTCGCTGCGTAGAACGGTCACAACTCTAGCTCTTTGCGCGCCAACCCGGGAACCTGGCCATCAATCCTTTTGCTCGCCGATGAGATCGAGCCCGATGACGAGGAAGGAGATCCCTTGGAAGAGCAAGAAGTAGAAGTGCACGCCTTGAGCCGAGAGCAAACTCCTCGCCGCCGCCGTGAGCAGCAGGAAAGCCAGGCTCAGCTCCTTCCTGTAGAACCGGGCCTTGGGTTTCTTCTGTGGCGATGGAGCCAGAGCCTTGGACTTTGCAACCTGTTCCTGTTCTTGCAACTTTGCCAGAGTTTCCACCTGTGAATCCGAGGAGCCGCGGAGCAACTGTTGAGCTTCCGCCAGTTCTTCTTTTGGAGTGACTAATGACAAGTCCGCTTCCGACGCTCGGCCTTTCTTCTTGGTTACCACCCACTCGTAGGCGCTGCTGAGCTGAAAGAGTCCCGATATCATAGCGTTGAACTTGGTGACGGACATGGTGTTTTCGAACAGAAGGTAGGGAACGATGAAAGGGAAGGAGCGAGGGGACGGGAGAACGTTGAGGAAGGACATGAGAGCTGGGACGTAGCAAATCACCCAGACTGGCAAGTGTGACTCTGGAACGAACATGGTCATGGGAAGGATAATGCAGAACAAGGTGAACGAGTAGAATGGCAGAATGAGCTTTCTAAGCAGGAAAAAGAGAAAGACGAGATTGGCTTTCCTCCACAATGGTATCTGGAAAAATCAACAAAGCCTTTCAAAGTCAGCAACAACGTACAAAAAAGGAAAACGAAATACTTGCCTTCGCTGTGACAACATCTGGCAAGCACAATCGAAAGAGCTGCATTGGACCCGAATGCCAACGATGCTGCTGCTTCCTGTAGGCCTCGTACGATTCTGGAAGCTCGCACAATACGTTGACGTCGTTGAGAAAAATAAACTTCCAGCCTCGCAGGTGAGCTCGCACAGCAATGTCCATGTCCTCCACAGTCGTCCTTTCCAACCAGCCACCTGAATCCTCCAAGGCCGTCTTCCTCCAGACTCCAGCGGTCCCGTTGAATCCAAAGAAGTTGAGAAACACTCCGTTCACCTGCTGTTCGACTTCGAAGTGAAACGAGAGATTTACGTTCTGGAGCCTCGTGAGCAGGTTGTCATCCTTGTTCACGAACGCCCATCGTGCTTGTACCAACGCTAGTTTTGGATCTTGCTGCAGAACACAGACCAGCATATCAAAACGACAAACCAGTTCAAGCTGAGCTGGAGCACCTTGAGGTGAGGGATTGTCCGCTTCAGGAAATCAGGCCTTGGTTGAAAATCCGCGTCGAAGATCGCCACAAACTCATAGTCATTGACGTAGTCGCAGGTCATTGCCGACTTCAAGTTGCCAGCTTTGTAGCCCGTTCGGATTGGTCGGTGCCTGTACACAATTCGTATCCCTTTCTGATGCCACTTGAGGACCTCAGCTTTGATGAGCATCTGAATCTCCTCGTCGCTCGAGTCGTCCAAAACCTGAACTAGGATCCTGTCCCTGGGCCAGTCGAGTTGGCTCACTGCTGAAATGGATTGCTCATACACCTGTTTAGCGAGTGAGAACAGAAAAGGCAACTCAGAAAAAAATGAAAAGTGCTCAAGCAAGCCAGCTCAACGTTTTAAAAACAAACAACCAATCGAGCAGGAAGAGAAAAGATGACAGGGTTTGCTTACAAGAAAAAAGAGAAGAACTCATGAAACCAATCTATATCAATCAAAGCATTGCTGGAACTGGAACTGGAAAGCAAGAAGTGCACATACCTCTCTTTCGTTGCACATCGGGATCTGGCACAGCACCATGGGATAGCCATTGTACGGGAGCTCGGGATCGCCAGAGTCGAGTAACTCCACGCTTGCTTCCGGTCTAATCCTCTTGTACTTGATCCAGATGCAGCCCAGGCACAGCAGCACTCTATCCGCGCTCTGGATGAGGAACAAAACGATGCAGCCGTCGGCCAGCGCCTGGAGGGGAGGAGCGATGAAAGTAGCTCTCACGTACACCCAAGCCAGGTAGATGGTTTGTAGCAGGCTATGGAGGCTGAGATCTTTGGGGCTGGGAAGATGGAAATGTGGTCGGTTGAAGCGCAAGTGCCAGCCCAAAATGTGGGCACACATCTCCACGACGAGCATCACCACCGCGAAGGCCAGGAATCCTCGGATAAACTGGTGGAGCTTGCCCTTGTGCTGTGGCTTCCCCGACGAAGAAGAAGAGTCCGAGTCCCCCGAGCGAGAGCTAAGAACCAATCGCGTCTTGATGGCCGCGAGCAATGCCCAGATCCCCTGCGCCATCCACGCGACGCACCCCACTGCTCGGTGCGCCTTGAGGAGGAGGACCCAAGTGAGCTGCTTGGCGTTCTTCCCTCTATCCTTGTCGCCGTGAAGGGCCGCGTTGGGTCCTTCGATCTCCACCATGGACCAGTTGTTTGGATCTTCCATCTTGACAACCACTGGCGTTCCCCCTCCTCCCCCTACTGCCCCGCCCCTGCTTCCAAAGAGCTCCGACAAATCGAAGCTCGGCGGCATCCTGGCTCGAGATTTCCCACTGCCACTGCCACTGCCTATCGACCGATCGACCCCATCTCCTTCTACCGCCCTGTTTCTACTCTAGCTCTAGCAAGCTCCCTCGAGGAAGCTGAAGCGATAGAGATAGCACCTTCTCTGCGCGTGTTCTTCGTCAAAATGTTGACGATAGCCGCGACCTGGCACGGATCTTCCAAATTCCTCCCAATCCCGACGTGCATTGCGCGGCGTCTCACCGCGCGCTGTGAATTGGCCGAGAATGCGGGATCTGCGACCCCGTCCAGACCCTAGAACCCTGGAAATATTTCGGCATTGGAGGGAGAAAGTGACCCTGGATCGATGCTGCTGCCGTGGTACACTACAAGATCTCAATGCGAGGAGGAGGAGGAGGAGGACGACGACGAATAGACCGCTGTGCTGCTTACCGCCATTGCTACGATAGCTCCCGACCGCTCGTCCCCTTGTTGCCTAGCGCCGCCGCTGGATCCGGCCAGGAATTGCCATCCGAGCCACCACCACCGCCGCCCGGCCGCCGCCGCCGAGCGCTGCCGCACATATATTCCCGATCGATCGATCGATGCGCGTCAATGCCGTGCGAGAGTAGAAGAAGAAGAGGAGGGGGCCTCGCCACGCCCTGCCATTCTGCTCCAGAGCCAACGATATTTGCTCGCACTGGCTGGCTCTCCAAGCCACTGGCATATTCCACCGCGGCGGGGGTACATTCCGCCGCGGCGTGTAGAATATTTCACCGCGCAGCGCCACCGCTCCGTCACCATGGTAGGTGAACGGTCGTAAGAGGGGATGGCCGGAATATGCGTCTGAAAGGCGGGGTCAAGTCGTGTGGTATTCGTATCCTGTATTCGACAGTTACATTACAACCAACGTCAGGTGGCCGAATTTCTCCCTGAGTGTTGGCCATGTGGCCCACGTCCCGTAATTGTAGTCCCGTGTCGGGCTTTCTGGCCCGCCGCAACTAACGGCTGGGAGGCCGTCCATCCGCTGGCTCTTCCGCCGCGGAATGCCCGGCGTCATAAGGGCCGTCCATCTGGCCGCAAAATGCCTGGCATCATAAGCTCCGTCCATCCCCTCGCCATTCCGTCCCGGAAATGGTCAGTGGCAGCACGCGTTTGTTTGCAAACGAATGAAGTACTTTCTCCTTGTTTTGTTCGTTTGTGTTTGTGGGTGTGGATGGTTTGATTTTGAGCGTTTGGTAGAAATTTCTTCCACTATTTTTTTTGGATCGATGATGATCCGAAATGCATGCACGATGCTACCGACGTAGTCCGCACGACACAAATGACTCAAAACTTTTCGCGTGTGTGTGGGTGTTTGGCCATTGTCTTCCTGTCTTTGTTTTTGTTTTCCACTTCGTCCGAGTGGTCAAAAGTTCTGGGATCATGATGTTTGCTTCCCATGATCATACCATGATCAAAGCCTCGCGATTTTCTGTTTTCGTTTTGTCAAATGATTGACGTGTGTGTGTGTGTTCGTGCGGGGATCTATGATGACAGACAAGGGTCGTCCAGAAATCACGAACTCCTGCCGCTGCGATCAAAATCTCGTGTACGCACAAAAGCAAGCAAGAACAAGCAGCGATCTAGCGAGAAGAAAATAAAGAACGAAAACTTTGATCTGGTCTTGCTTGCAAGCAAAAGAAGAAGAAGAAAAGAAAAACACGAGAACTCACTCGTTTGTTGCGAATGGAACACGCTTGTGTTGCTGTTGCGGATTTTTTCTTGTAAAAGGGACAAGCTCGCCAGCGGATCGCTGTCAGGAATTGGTGAATGCACACCTGAAAGCCATCGATGGGTGAACTGGAAAATGCCAAACGAGACGAGATTTTTGTCCTACCTTTTAGAGGCCAAAACTCTGGAAACATTCGCATTGTTTAGGGCTCGAGACGATGAGGGCTGCTGCTGCTCGGGTGAGAAGAGGTGGGTTCTTAGAGTTCTCTCCTTTGTCATGCTTAGCGGAACTTTTCTTCTTGCGTCGTGGATCTTTCCAGGCATCGCAATGCGGCAAAGTTCGTGCCGTGAGATGAGCAGGCGCGCACTGAAAATCGCAACCAGGAAGGTACCAAAGTAAAAGATTAGTTTTTGGCGAGGAGAAGAAAAAGCTGGCCTGACCTTTGGTTGTTTTGGTGCAGGCTGCACAGAGCTTGCGGCGGGACAAGATCAACAACAGGATCTCCAAGGAAGTCGCCAAAGCGTGTAACTTGCCTTCTTCGTGCTCTCGATAGCAGCAGAGATTTCTAGTGTTGTTGCCCACTTTCGTTTTTTTCTTGAGCAGTGTTCGGGAGGGTGGTGCCAACACAGCGTCAAACTTGCAACTGGCAGCGGTGCTTCAACGGGCGAGAGAGCTGAATGTCTCGAAAGAAATCATCGAGCGAAACATGAAGAAAGCGAAGGACACCGAGAACCAATCCTTCAGTGAGATCCTGTACGAGGTAAAAACACGCAAAGCGCGTGTTAGCTAAAAAGATAGAACCTTTGCTTTTGAGCTTTCTTACGTGAAGCTGTGCTTGCAGGTGTTTGGCTATGGTGGCGTTGGTATCGTGGTCGAAGTTCTTACGGACAATCCTAATCGCTCGTCCTGTCAGATTCGAGAAGTGGTGAAAAAGTGTCGAGCCAAGATGGCTGGCTCCGGCTCGGTTCTCTTCGACTTCAAGCGAGCTGGTGTACTTTACGTTAAAGCTGCCGCAGACGTGAGTGCCGACGAGCTCTTTGTAGCAGCCACCGACGCTGGTGCCGAGGATGTCATTGAGCCTCCGGAAGACGAGGAAGCCTCCCTGGAAGACAGGTACACCAAAAGCTTTTTTGCTTTAGTGTCATAAAAGCAAAGCTTCTCTACACTTTTTCCAACAGGGTCTTCAAAGTGATAACAAAGGCGGAAGACTACATACCTGTAAAATCCAAGCTTGTAGAGGCCGGATTCCCAGTTGGCGTCGACTCGGGTCTAGAGCTCGTGTCAAACGCGCAAGTAGAGGTAACATATCGAAACGCTAGTGCCTGATTTTGTTCTGGCTGGGATGATGCTCCTAGGTTGATGATGAAGCGATGGAGTTGAACAAAGGCCTTATGGAAAAGCTACTGGAGCTGGATGATGTGGATGCTGTTTATTCAAGTCAAAAGGCTTGAAGTATAACCGGTCCAGTTTCTGTAAGTGGACAGAGGAAACAAAGCAGCAAAGGTTCGAAACAAGAATTGAAAAACATACCTGATGCACAGCCTTAAAAATCATAATCGTTTCTTAGGATGAAAACCGTCGCGTAGAATTATGATTTTGTAAGATGCTAAACGACTCCGCAATTTATAACTCCACAGTGTCCATTACCAGTTGTTGGAGTATTTTTCTTGAAGCCCTGCATGTGCTTGGCAGCCTGTGACTAGTGTTAATACACTTGCAGTTTTAAAACCGGCTACATTCAACCAACCTTTCGGACGGCAAGAATCATCCCTCTTTTGCATTTGCGCAATCAATTTTTTCTGCGTTAGCTCTGATCCAAGCAAAAACTCGTTTAGTAAAAAGAAACAACACAGAGAAACAGAGAGAGAATCCTACTTCGCTTTTCAGATCTTGAAGCTCTTGGCTTTCTCATTTGTTGTTGGTAAGATTGTGTAAGATACAGGACTGATTATGCTCAACACGTATCATTTTCGATTTGATCGCCTCCGAGGTGGAAGTTATTATATGAGCAGTTTTATCACGAGCTCGAGACTGCAACTTCTTTTTTAACTTGTTTAGCATGTTTCTCAAAGAGCCTCTTTCGATCAGTACAAATCCTGAGGTGCAACGAATATTTACCGATCCATGTAGACTTTAGAACCGGTCATTAGAAAAAACCAACGTATACCTTCTAAAGAAAACCGAAAGCGTGCTATAGTTCTTGTTGGAACGGCAGCATCGTCCTGAGGCTTCCAAATAACGAGCTCCAAAGATGACGAGGAGAGCACTAAACCATCATAACTAGCTTAGCCGTACTTGTGAGAGTAACTCACCTTTGATCTCTTTGATGTTCTTAAAATCAAAATCCATTATCTCTGCAGCTCCTGTAAAGGTTGACGTCAGTAGCAACTTTGATTGTAATTGCACTCTCGTACTTTGCTTGGTGAGTTTCCACTCCGATATGCACCCATACTTCTTCGTGAGAAGTATGTTCTTTGCCATCGATGAAAACTTGTAAGGCTCGAAAAGAATAAACGCTAAAGCACGGGCTCTCACCTTCTCGATGCTCCCAGGGACTCATTGACCAAGTTAACGAAGTTCCTAATGCCGGTCTTGACATCTGGCCTTTTCATCTCGTGCATGGATAGCATTGCCCTCTTCGCAGCATCGTCATCAACTATATCCATGAGCCTCTTGTGTCCCATTGTTAATCGAAAAAGTATCTCCGCAGCACTAGCTTGAAGTTGAAAGTCTCCACACTTCGGGAGTAAAAGCTTGAAAAGCTTGTAGCTGCATGAAAACCTTAGAAACATAAAATGAAATGCACAGCCGAACTCACCATCCAGTCACGTGAAGTATCAGAAACTTCTGGTTCTCGGCCGATCGAGTAATCAAGGCACAGAGAGTCTCCACAGAAGCACGCTTGAGTTTTAAAGACCCCGACTTCAAGCCAACGTCAGAAGCCTAGTAATGAAGTGCTTCCCACAAAGAACTTTGCCTGTTAAGAACGAAAGAAAAAGGAAAATCACTAAGGCATCATCTCTACATACGACCGCTCACCTTGAGGATGATCGCTTAGATCTTCGATGGCAAACAGAAGCTGCAAATTCAACGACAAGACCTCCCTCCGAATGAAATCCACAGTCACAAGATCATCACACACAGCTTCGCCAGCGCTTCCAAAAACTCCTCAGTCACGAGAATTGGAAAAGATTGAAGCTCGCTTCAGCAAATCCTCCACGCGCCAATATAGTGCCGCCGCCGGAAGCCATGGATTTGGACCTGAAGAGCTGTGAGAAAGAATCGCTTATACCAAGAAACACTCACATTCTCCAGGACGCCGAGTAGCCGCGCGAGATCCAGCCCACCGATGAATTCCGATCGAATGCATTGATAATCTAAATCCCCGGCAGCTGGATCCGTCCGCGGCGACTCCATCGCGCTCTCATCCACGAAAAGCCCTAGCTAGCTCTGCACTGGGCGGGAAAACGATAGCACACGGCAAAGAATCGAGGCCGTCAAAGTGGCGTTTGTCAATTAACGGTAGAGATCGTGCTACAAGGCAGGATAGAAGTAAGAGCTCATAGCAAATCCCAGAAACAATAGACCTCCAATGAGCGCCACGGTTCTCTGTGATATTCTCATGGCGAGAATTCGACCGCCAACGACGGCAATGCTCGTACACACGGTGTGTCCAACGATCGCTCCCAGTGTAACTCCCACAGCGTTTTTGTGAGCAGCAAGCTAGAAAGACGAAAATTTTGAGCTGGATCAAGGAAAAACAATGCGAACTTAACTGCAATCGTTGCGATCTGGCTTCTATCTCCCCATTCCGCCAAAAACGTGAGGATGAACGACTGAAACGACCGGCAAAATGATCAGCCAGCGAATGAAAACTTGGAGTGTAACACCAAAACGTACCTCCAAAAAGATTGGAGTGCAAAACCTCGTGAAAAATTGTCGGACTCTTGACTTTCCATGCGTGCTGCCTTCCAGTTTCTCTTCGACCTGCGGGAACGAAGTTGGAAATGAGCGAGCAAAGCTAGGGTACCTCTCCGAGCTCGTTTTGTTTCTCGGTGACGCCCGACTTCCACGCTATATACAATAGCCGCAATCCAAAGAAAGTATACAACACTGCAACAAGGAAAAACTGAGGAAAAGAAAGGAACGAAGAGAAATCCATACCAGTGGCAAAACTATTGACGTGCCTTCGCGAGATAAGATTGGGAACTATTCTTCCAAGAACGGTGGAGAAAACCTGTTATCAAAAGAATAAAAGCACCTGAGTAAACAGAAAATAAAGCTTGCGAGAACTTACAGTCATGAGAGCAAGCGCGGTGAGAGCTCCAGAAAGAACTATGGCTCGCGGATGCCTCATCGCCATTAGAGCTGCGATGATGAAAGTCTCGTCTCCAATCTACCAGAGGAGCACAAAAGAATTAGGCCTAAAGCAGCAACCATTAGCAACGGAGAGTTCCGGGACGAGCAAACGTTACCTCGCTGACAATTATCATAGAAAAGCTCGAGAACACAGCGTCGAGCAAACCATACCCGCTGAAAATCCCCGGTGCTTGAATCAAGGCCCCGGTGGAATTCATGGCCTCATCCATAGAAATCTAGAAGAGAACAAAAAATGGCAGCATTTTGGGAGTGATCAATCGATCTGGAAGGAAAGTATCCTTACCTGTGCTTTTCGCCAGCCTTGAGCCCACTGCGAAGAGCAAACACAAAGGAATGAGAAACACAAGCCGCCAATGCAGGCCTCGATCGAATCCAATCACCTCAAGCAGCGACGCCATCACGAGCGCGATCAAAATCCACTGCTTCCTCATGGCGCCGGCTCCCAGAGCTCAGATCCTTAGATCCACTACCAGCATAACCCTAGCACAGATCTGGCGCCTTGGCGCCCAAAATCGCAGTCACTGACTAGCTACGCAAGAAAAAAAATGCCCTGTTTCTATTTCTAGGGTTAGGGTTCTTCCTCCGCGTCTTGGTCTTGGATCGTTTGGCAAATCTCGGGGATGGATTGGTCCAAATCGTCGGCCTGGGCGTTAGAGAGCAGCACATACGGCACCGCCGGACACTCGGATTGCTCCTCCATAGCTACGAGCTTCCTGGCGATGCGTTTAGCGCGCTTGACATCCTTGTGGTTCTTGCAAGCGCCCAGGAGAGTGGTGAGCACCACCACATTGGGCTGGAATGGCATCGTCTCCATCAATTCCTCGGCCTCGTCTAGCCGCCCAGTTCGTCCCAGGCAGTCGACCAGGATCACAAAGTGGAATACTCCCGGGGTGAGGTGATAGTCTTGGATCATCGATCCAAAGTGGCGATATCCATCCTCCTGGAGGCCCGAGTGGCTACAGCAATTCAAGACGTTCACGAACGTCACGGCCTCTGGATTCCTCCCGTCCAGCTGCATCGCCAAGAACAGCTCCAGCGCCTCGATCCAGTGGCCATTGCTCGCGCAGCTCGCGATCATCGCGTTCCAGCTGATCACGTCCACCACCTCGCGGCCATCGTGCAGCAGCATCGCCTGGAAGATCTCGCGAGCTCGATCCACTCGCCCACACTTCCCATACATGTTGATGAGCGCCGTGGCCACGATCACGTCGGTGTCCAGTCCAGATTCCACCACCAGCGCGTGGATGATCCGCGCCTGGGCGATCGCCGCGGCGCTCGCAATCGCCTCCACGACGCTCACGAACGTCGTCACGTCGGGCCTGGCCGATCCATCGAGATCCATGAGCCGGAAGAGCTCCAGCCCCAGCTCGCCGCGATCGCTCAGCGCGTACGCGTTGATCATCGTGTTCCAGGAGATCACGTCTCGCTCGGGCGCTCGATCGAAGAGCTCCCTGGCCTCCAGAGCTTCGCGCGCGATGCCATGCGCCTGGATCATCGTGTTCCAGCTCATGAGATCGCGCTCGGGGAGCCTGTCAAAGATGGATCTCGCGCGGATGGATTGGCCGAGCTGGGCGTAGCCAGCGAGGAGCGCGTTCCAAGTTACTCCATCGCGCGTGGGCATGCTCTCCACGATCTGGCTCGCGGCGATCACGAACTTGCTCTGGGCCAGCGACGAGACGATCGAGTTGAGCGTGACAAGAGTCCAGTGTGGCATTCGATCAAAGGCGAGCTTTGCGAGCTCGATCTTTCCGCTGCTCGAGTAGCCATTGAGCATCGCGGTCCAGGAGATCACACTCCGGCTGGGCATCTGATCAAAGACCAGCTTCGCCTCCGCCGATCGAGCGTGAGCTCCATAGACGCAGATCATCGCGGTCCAAGAGACGTGATCCTTCTCGGGCATCGACTGGAAGAGATCGCGAGCTTCTTCCAACCGGCCATTCTCGCTCAGAGATTGGAGGAGAGTGTTCCAGGTGACAACGCTCCTGGATGGGATCTTGCGGAAGAGGGCGATTGCCGGGGAGAAATCGCTGCTTTGGGCGTAAGACGCAATCGCGATGTTCCAGGAGACGACGTCGCGGTGTCGCATGAGCGAGTGGAAGATCTCCCGCGCTCGATCGAGCTCGCCGTTCTGAGCGAATGCTCGAAACATCGCGTTGCAAGACGAGGTTCCTCGCTGCGGCATTCTCTCGAAGATCTGGAGCGCGCTCTTGGCGTCGCAGCAAAGGCCATAGCCGGTGAGCATCGCGTTGCAAGATAGCACATCGCGGGTGGGCATCTCGCGAAAGAGTTTGCTCGCGTGATCCATATCCCCGGCTTGGGCATAGGCGTGGATCATCGCGTTCCAAGTCACGACGCTCTTCTCTGCCATGGAATCGAAGAACCAGCGCGCTCGATCGAGCTCGCCACCGTGAAGAAACGCCACCATCATCGAAGTGGAAGTGATCACATTGCGCTGCTCCATGCGATCAAACACCGCGATCGCTCTTCCCAGATGCCCGTGCTGGGCATACGCCCCGATCATCGCGTTTCCAGCCACCACGTCTTCCTCGGGCATTCGATCGAACAGCGTCTTGGCCTCTTCCAGATGTCCCTTTAGCGCATAGCCTTGAATCGCAATGTTCCAGGAGAGAACGCTCAGCTCTGGCATCCTCTCAAACACAAGCCCCGCGCGATCCTCTCGCCCGCTCTGCGCGAAAGCGTTCATCAAGACGTTCCAGGAGATGTGATCCCTGTGAGGAATCCTGTGGAAGAAATCGATGGCGTGGTCGAGATCTTGGAGCACGCTCATCACCGTGTTCCAGGAGATTGCGTCGTGCTCCGGCATCCTGTCAAGAAGCCAGAGGCAGCAATCCATATGCCCGTTTCGCGCATACGCTTGGATCATCGTGTTCCAGGTGACCACAGACCTCTGTGGCGCGCTCTCGAAGATCTCTCGCGCCGATTCCACCATGCCGGCATGGGTGTAGGCGACGATCATGTTATTCCACGAGAAGACATTGGGACGATACAGCCGCTGGAATGCCGATCGCGCCTCCTGGAAGCTCTCGCATTTGGTGTACAGGTGAACGAGGAGATTCCCCAGTAGGGTCTGTGAATCCATGCCATGATCGGCGAGCACGGCATGGATTCGCCGCCCCTCGAGCAGCGCCTTGGATCCGGCGCACTGCCGCAAGAGAAACGCGCAGAGATTTCCATCCGGATCCCGCCGCTGCTGCTCGATTTGCCGCACGGCCTCGCGCAAATCAGCTCGTTTCAATGCCTCGCCATGCCTCATGCATTGGGAAAACGAATCTAGAGGGCGCTTATAAAGAGATTCGAACCCGGGGGCAAAGATTTTATAGCTATGGCCACAAAACCCTAACCCTAACTTTTGGTGTTTGATTGCCCTAGGGTTTAGGCGCTTTCGCGTGCCCGGGCAGCTATGGAGGTCTGAGAGAGCCGCTCACGCAGCTCCAAATCCGGTGTGGGAAATGGGAAGCAATCTATCGCACGCTGCCGCGCCGCCGCCTCCGCCAGTTGCGACGCCGGACAAGATTTCGCCGCAGCCCCCAGCAGCTCCCCCGGCTAAGGAGGATGAGAAGCCAGATGCTAAGGTCGACTACTTCAATCTCCCGTGCCCTGTCAAGTACGAGGAAATCCAGCGGGAGGTGTCCAGTAAGTAGCGATTTCCATGGCTGCATTGTCTCATCGCGTGTTCTTCCAGTGGCTTTGAAGCCAGATCTCTTCGAGGGCCTAAGATTCGATTTCAACAGGCCATTGAATGAGGTGTTCTCTCTGAGCCACAGGTATCAAGATTTTCTTTTTATATTTCTTGTAAAAATCCAATCTTTACAGTGTCTTGATGGGATCCATAGAAGTTCCACAGCAATCCCCGCAAATCGTCAAAGTTCCCAGCGCGCACTATGAATTTGGTGCGAACTTCTTGAGCCCGCGGGTTTGTTCTCTCTTCAAATCTTTTGGTAAATCTAGCTGAGTGTCTTGGAATGCCAGCTTTTTCTTGTAGGACGAGTTTTAACGGATGGAAGGCTGAATGCCCGTGTGAAAGCCGACTTCACGGAAAACTTCTCCATGAGGCTGAACGCCCAGGTACGATATAACGATTGCATCTCCTTCGGGCATTTGTAGACGTTTCTAATGCGTTTCTTGTCCATGGCAGTTAACCAACGAGCCACACTTTTCACAGGGAATGTTCCAGTTCGACTACAAGGTCAGCCTCCAATCTTTATGTTATTTTACTTTTCTAAGAGTCGAAATGCAGGGCAAAGACTACCAAACGCAGTTCCAGTTTGGCAACAGAGCATTTTATGGAGCAAATTATATACAGGTAAAGTGGCCGTGGTTTCGAAGAAAGATTTTCTCAATGTGGTTTTTGACTTCCAGAGCATCACTCCTAGCTTAGCTCTCGGCGGTGAGGTGTTTTGGGTTGGTCACCAAAGAAAATCTGGTCTTGGACTTGCTGCGCGCTACAGCAACGATAAAGTGGTTAGTTCTCTTTTCCTTGTATTTTTCCAAGTCGAAGTCTATCTATGATTCATTTTGTTGGCTTTCCAGATTGCCACTGGTCAAGTTGCGACCACGGGAATGGTGTCATTAACTTATGTTCAAAGGGTGTCGCAAAAGGTAAAAAAGAAATTCTTCTTTTCTCCGTTAATCAAACGAGAACTTCCAGGTGAACTTAGCGACGGATTTTCTATACAACGCGCTCACGAAGGAAGCCATAACAAGCATTGGCTACGACTACATTTTGCGACAGGTAAGTCGCTTCTAGATTTGAGCAGCTCTTCATGCATTTTTGCGGCAGAGTCGTGTGAGAGGCAGGCTCGACACAAACGGCTGCGTGGCCGCTTTCTTGGAGGAAAGACTCAACGTCGGCGTTACGTTTCTCCTGTCGGCGGAGGTTTGCATCGCCGCCATTGTCAATACTTGCTAACTCCCGTGCTGCTGGCTGCCCAGATTGATCACTGGAAAAAAGACTACAAGTTTGGTTTCGGGTTGACGGTTGGGGAGTGACAGAGATTCTTTTTTCTTTCTCGGACAAGTTTGAGTCTTTAAAACCAGGGAGTGGCCCGTCCGCCAGATTTTGAAGAGCGTCCCGCAAGTACGCTTCCTTCTTCTGCTAGCTTAGTGTAAGCAATTCAATTCCTCGTTCCTTTCCTTTTGCTTGTGTAGTTCTATGCTATATAACACGGCCGCGGTAATAAGCAAGGACAGACTACTACGTTCCAAGCAGTCTTATAGTTCGTGAGAAGCTTGCGTTACAAACTTTTGGTCTCTTTTGGTCTCTAACTCTTTGCTCGAGCTTGTGATTTTTCCAGGCTCCCAGCAAGCACGTCCACTCGGTAGCGTCTGGAGCAAATGGCATGCTCGTCGCGACGTCCCTGGCAGTGTCAAGGAATCCCGACCTTGCCAGGAGATCCACCACGCAGCAGTAGTGCTGCTTGGTCGGCTCGATCTGGAAGTCACTCACCATGGACGCGAAGAACTCCTGGGCTCTCTCCAAATCCCCGGCGCGGCTACACGCGATCAACACTGCCGCGAAGGCTGCTCCATCCGGCGGCGCTTGGAACGTCGCCGCCATGGAACTCACGAGGCTGAAAGCGTCGAGAGGATCCTTGCCGTGGTGTGCGTACGCGGCGAGCATCGAGTTCCAGATCGCTACTCCATCGAGCTTTGGGACTCTGTCGAAGATCTGGCGCGCTCGATCGACGTGCCCCTGCTGCGCGTACGCTGCGATGAGCGAAGCCCACGAGATCTCGTCCCTGTTCATCGCGTTTCGATCGAACACATCCCTGGCGGCTTGGAAGTGGCCGCTGTGAGCGTAGGCGCTGAAGAGCGTGTTCCAGGAGAAGGAATCCGGGGCTGGAATTCGATCGAAGAGCTGCTGGGCTTGCTCCAAATCGCCCTCTTGCGCTCGCAGCGAGAGCGCTAGATTCGAGCTCACGAGGTCGTGCGCAGGCATCCCGCGAGAGAAGAAATCCAGCGCTTGGCGCGTATGCCCGGCCTGGGCATACGAGCAAAGCATCGTCTTCCACGAGACAAGATCATGCCGAGGCATTCGACCAAAGATCCGCGATCGCTGGCTGTGCGTCGCGGCGGCGAGGATCGCATTCCACGAGACGAGATTGTGCTCGGGCATCCTCGCGAAGATCTCCTCAACCTCCTCCTGGTATAGTCCCGATTGGGCATACGCGCCAAGAACAGTCGTCCACGAGATCACGTCCCGTTGGGGCATTGCTCGATCGAAGCACTCCCGGAGAAGATCTAGACGATTTCCCTGCGCGAATGCCTGGAGCAGTGAGTTCCAAGAGACCAAGTTCGTCTCTGGCATACTCTGGGAGAAGAATCGCTGGGCTTCTCCAAAATGCCCAGCACGGGCATATGCTGCAAGCATGGAGTTCCAGGAAACTAGATTGTACTGCGGCATCGCATCGAAGACCCACTTCGAATCGACCAGATTACATTTTTGAGAGAGTGCTGCCTGGATCGAAGTCCATATCACAAGATCCTTGTGTGGAATTCCCAGAAACAATTGCCATGCTTCCTCAAAATGCCCGGCTTGGGCAAATGCGCAAAGCATCGTGTTCGATGACAGTGCGTCCCAGAGTGGCATTCTATCGAAGATCTCTCTGGCGCCGTGAAGATCTCCAATGTCGGCACAAGAACCCAGCATCGCGGTCCAGGCCACGAGAGTTTTCCCCGGCATCGAATCGAAAATCTCTCTCGCGTTGTCGAAATGCCCGTTCTTGGAGTATGCCAAGAACATGAAAACCCAGGAGAAGGAATCCCTGCTGCTGGTGGCGATCTCGTCGAAAACCTGGCGCGCCATCGCCGGGCTCCCGATCCGGCCATACATTTGGATCAGTCGATTGTGGACGAAGGTATCGGCCCTGCGGAGATTTCGCTTGGCGAGCGCGTGGATCTCGGTGGCCTCGGACAAGCTGCCGCAGGAATCGATGAGTTCCAGAAGATCTTGACGCATCCAAAACCCAGGTTGACCGAAACTTCGCGCCTAGAAAATTCTACCTAGAGAATCTCCCTAGAGAAGAAAATGTCAAAGCTTAGGAATAGCCCTAATTCTTCGTGGGTATGGCGGACACGGAGGCGCTGCGCGTGTGGTTCCAGTCGGTGGATGTGGATCAATCTGGCTCGATTAACGTGACGGAGCTCCAGGTCTGTGCTCTGGAATGCGCGATCTCGCCAAATTTCGAGCTCGAATTTGAAAATTTTCGCTGCAGGAGGCACTGGCTGCCGGAAATCTTCGATTCTCCCAGTCCATGGTAGCTCAGATGATCAGGTCAGCTTCCTTGGCGCTAGATCTCTCCAAACAGTGATGCGTGAATTCCTTTTTCTCTTCTCTCTCCTCACAGAATGTATGACCGGGATCAAAACGGGACAATGTCATTCGAAGGTAATCTCTTTCTTTGGAAATTCGATGTCATGATCGATCAAATTGTTTGTTTTCTTTTATCCCTGGCAGAGTTCGTGAATCTTCACAAGTTCTTATCCCTGGTAAGAGGAGACTGTTTGTTCTTTTCCCTTTCCCTGGCTGAAAATTCGGGGAAAAAAAATCCAAACAAGCTGTGCACTACACCAGGTCCAAAATGCTTTCACAGCCAGCAGCAGGTAGTCTGGAGCTCATCTTCTTCCGGGAAGAACTTCTAGTTCTCACGAGTTCTTCCATCGCTGTTTTTTTTCTTTCAGAGGAAGTGGAGTTCTCGGATTGAGTGAGATGCACAAGGTACTTTTTGCGTTCTTGTTCTTTGCTGCCAACTTCGCCTTTGATCTTTGCGATAGGCCTTGGCGCAGGCTGGATACGCTCTGGATCAACCATCGTTTTTCATGGCATGCCAGGCGAGTACCTTATAGAATTCCAAGCCATGCTTGCTCACCGCAGGTTTTCTCAGAGCTTCGATCACAAGCGAACAGGCCAGTTTCGTCTGGACGATTTCATCTCGATTTGCATCTACTTGCAATCAGCCAGGTGAAGGATCTCTTCTTCCTCTCGTCTAAAAAACTCTTTCTTTCTTTAACCAGGAACCTCTTTGATGCCTTCGACACAACTCGCCAAGGAAGAATCACTCTGGATTTCAATCAATTCGTCTACTGCGGTAAGCTTGGAAATTTTCCATGGATTGGTTTGGTTCTCTCGCTCTCATTGTGTGTTTCTTCTTTCTCAGGTGGAAACTTGCGAATGTGAAAGAACAATAGAGACTTAGAATAAAACAAGGGGGAAGAAAGAAAGAAATTTAGGGTTAGGGCAGAGGTGGAAGGAGCTGGGCATGGGAAGAGGAATTAGTCTCCCTGTAGCGTATGGTAGACTGATCGGGGAAGGGCAGTGTAGCACACAGGAGGCGACGCAGCACAGCAAGCAGGAGGAATGGATTTGGGAGTACGTGCTCAAGAACTGCCAGGATTTCTCCATCGCCACGCGCTTGCTGGAAGCGATCCCCATCCCCGACACTCCTTTCATCAAGAAGCTGGCGATTCTCAAGCTGCTGTCGCTGGACGTGGAGGCCGGGTGCTACGCCGAGAGGGATTTGTTCGCGCTGCAAGGCCTGGAGCGGCTGGCTAGAGACGAGACTAGGAAGGAGTTAGAGGAAGAAGAAGACGAGGAAGAAAATGTGGGAGTGGTGGATCGAGAAGAAGGGCAGCAAGGTGGCGACGAGAAAACGAGGAGGCGATGGCGGAGGCGTGAGATGGATTCTATGTGGTCGAAGGTGGGTGTTCTCGTCAAGGCGGAGCTTGCTTTGCAGCACTTGAGAGACGGGAAAGAGGACTGGGAGGGTTTTACCGACGCTCTGGACAGGCACTGGGGAGATGTGGTCCAGGACACCGAGGAGCCCGACTTTTGCCAAGGGAACAACATCAAGTGTGATCTCTGGAGCCTCAAGGCCAACCACAGGCTTTCGAAGTTTATCCTGGCAGAGAACAAGAGGGAGACGGTGGATGAGCTTGTGAAGCGGTTCTTGGCTCTCGCGTGGGAAGATGTTGGCCAGGTTTTGCTGGAAAAGGTGGACGAGGACATCGTCAATGGACGGTACGTGCCTGGTGGAGAGAAGCGTCCCCGGGAGTGTGAGGATAACAGCGATGGTGGTGCTGATCCAAAGAAGAAGCGAGTGAGGAAGACGCTGCTGGCAAGCTTGGATGGAGAAGAAGCAGAGATGAGTCGTCCTCCGTGGAGTGGTAAGCTCACTTTTTTCTTTTTCTTTTTCTAGTTATGGGAGTTTTGCTTTTAGGCGAATCTGAGAGACCAGTTACGCGAAGGCTAAGACGACGGTGCTACGAGTCAGAGGCTTTGCAGACTCCGGCCGTGGATAAAGCTGTGAACGAGCTAAAATCCAGTCGGTATAATCTCAGGAAGCAAGTTCGCGATCCTCTTCCAGAGGCGGTCGAGGTTGCACGGAGCTTAAGAGAAGATACGAGCACAGCGAACGGGTCCTTGAACCAGCAGGGTCAGCCAGATCAACAGCAGCAGGAAGCTCAGCCTGATGAGCCACCCCAGCCAAGTGGAAGTGGGAATCGACAGGAAGAGAGAGCTCAACTGGATGCAAACCTTACTTCGAAGCAGCAAGAGCAACAAGCACAAGCTCTTGGAAATGCGGCTGGCAAAGGGAAAATGAGCATGATGGAACGAAACCATACCGCTCGAACTCGTGAGGTAGGCATGTTTTCCATTTTTCTGACAGAGCTCACGGTGACTCTCCAGTGGAACGACGACGACGATGACATTGAGGAGGACACCTCCCCGTCGGCTTCTAGGCGCGTAAATCTTCCCAGTAGCAGCACAAAGGCACCCTCGCCTTTGCAAAAAATCGAACCAAAAGTCTCTTTGCTTCGGAGAAGGAAAATCAAGCGGTGGACGGCACGAGAGGAAGAAGCACTTCGGAAAGGAGTGGAAATGTAGTGTTTTTTGTTTATCTCCTTTTTCCTCCACTGAGCTTTTACGTTTGTTTGCAGCTTTGGGAAAGGTCGCTGGAAGGCCATCTTGCAGAGCAACCTGGACGTATTTGACAATAGGACTGAGGTAATTTTGGTGGGATTATGTTTTTTTTCCCAGAGAAGTGATTGTTTTCAACAGGTTGATCTTAAAGATAAGTGGAGAAACATAGAAAAAGCTGAAGGAATCAAGAGAGATTGATGGATAGTTTGTACCAATTCTTGTAAAGTTCCAAGTTTTCATGGTATAAAGAGATTCCAAACTTTGAGTTCATCTGATGTTATATATATACAAAATTTGTCTACAACTTTAGTGCATTTATATGCACAAAACATCATATGGCTCTTTTGTATTCTTAAGCCTGCTGAGATGGAGATAAGCTTGAGTCCCTGAAAAAAAACAGATTTTTTTTTAGAGTTTTAGAAAGCTTTTGACACGAGAATGTTATACCATAGCCTTCCATGGACGCAAGCTGCAAGTCTCCCCCAAAGTATCTCGCATATAAACGAGTGACTGGCAGTCCATAGCCATATCCAGCCATGGCATCGCTTGGTTGCTCAAGAAATCTGTTCTGGTCCAGCAGTGGAATCTCACCAGTGCTGTAGAAGTAACTCCAGACCTTTGGAAGCTCACTTCTGGGTATACCACCACCCTCGTCAGATATCTGTAAAACCAGGAGTTTGATGATCAAGTTTGTGGAGATTTGCTCTGAGTTACCTTAATGGTTACGTCTTCGGTGCCACCAGCGACGATGACTTTCACGGCAGGAGTCTTGGAAGCTGTAGAGAAACGTTCCTGGACTGACCGTAAGGAATTCTTTAGCAGCTCAAAGACCATCCAATGCAAATGCGTCGGCACGTAGCTATAAAGGTGCAAGAGATAAGCGCGAGTCAAAACGAGGAAGAAAACAAAAAGGTTCTATCCTTACGCGAATTTCAAACCGCTATCGCCAACGACGTGTACGTCTGGAGAGCGGCCGTAAATCCGCGAGCACATCGCCCGTGCATCGGACGCAGCATTGTGGATCACTTCCACCGGAGAAACTTGCGTGGAGACGAGGCCAATGTAGCCGGGAGGATTTTTCTGGTGGAGTGCTACGTGCTGTCCTGCGAAAGAGAAACCATCCAAAGTTCTTACACAGAGTTCTCTTAGAACAATAGCCAAAGAACGCGTAAGAGAGACTACTTACCGATGAGCATGCGAATCCCAATCCGGGACAAGAAGAACCGGTTGAGGAACTGGTGAATCTCTGGAAGTTGCGTGGTTGATCCAAGCTCCGCCTTGAGTTCTTGGATGCCCAAGCCAAGCATTGGAATGACATGGTTGTGCCGTTCTTTCACGTCGTGAATTAGCTGCGTGAACTCGAGCTCGTCGCTGGGGGTCACGATCTCTGGAAATCCGTGAATTTCTTTGAAAGACTCCACGTACCAATCTCGAACCTGCCGCCGATCATGAACATTTTCCAGCCGGAGTTATTCACGAGAGGAAAAAACGCCATACACCTCAAAAAAGAACTCCAAACCTTTAGAACTGGCGCCTTAGATGAGAGACCAAATGGAAGATTTTCCAGCTCCACGACCTTGTGCGAGAGCCTGACGGGCAGCTCCCTCCGCAAGAACTGCGCGGCGATGAGGAGATTCTTCTCCGTGGGGAATGCGCCGAAATCCATCATCAGCTTGAGATTGACACCGATCTGATGCTTGAAACTACACCTGTAGATGTCGTCATAGATGTTCCTAGCGATCTTGTCGGCGACCCGGCGTGTCGCGGCCATGGATCAAGCGATTGATCGCCCTAGCCTAGGAGCAAACGAAAATAAGATCGATCATTGCGAAGGTGCGCGAACCTCCGCCGTCGATCAAAATACAGCATCGCAGCCTTGAGAAAAACTAGTGGTTTCAAAACAGTCCACCTGGCATTGTACAAGGAATAAGGGAGAAAAAGAATTTCTTCTTAATTTTGCTAAGGAATTGTGAATCTAAATAAGGGGCAGAACGTTTATGTGATGAGCACAAAGACTAGAGGGACCAAGAGTGAACTTGCATTGCATATTTAGTAAGCACATAATTTACCATGCTAATGAAATTGAAAGTGTTTTATTTCCTTAATAGGCCAGAAGAAGAAACTCAATACATGTACAAATACATTATGGCTGTGAAACAAACCTAATAAATATATGAGCGGTATATTGCTACTCTCCATCCGAGACCGAGAACAGACTCTCAAGATCAGTCACCTTCCGGATCCGTAGCCATTTGATGGAAAGCACCAAGTTTTAAAGCAGTGACGAACAAGGCAAAAACATTCTTTACATTGTTGTTGTTAGTCATCTTAACTTCCTTCGCTTGAACTACTGCTAAGTAGTCAAAGCATTGCAAGCTCGACTCTCGAAAGAAAGAAAGAAAGGCCAAAGCTGTTGTTTTTGACGGGCTTGCCTTTCTATAGCAAGTGCGCATGGCAATGCTATTTGCTATATATTATCAACATTCTAACAAGAAAAGTCTTAAATCATGTTTGGGAAAAAAGAAACAGAAAAACAAGAAACGAAGCTTGCCTTCATATACTGAAAAGCAAATGGCAAAACATTCGCCTTCGATCCACTCAGCCACTACCATGCCTTTTAGAATCCCAGGTCGAACACGCAGCTCTCAAGCAGCAAAGGGCAGCCACAAATGTCCATTCTTTTCACTAAAGTGCCCCAGGCTTCCATTGCGGAACGTTTTTGTGACTCTGGAACCACTGTTCCAGAAAAAAGTCACCGGAGCTAGACATAATCACCACCGCAGTCCGGTCCTGTTTTGTCATGGCTACAAACCATCCTAGGATTGTTGGACCACTGCTTCAACTTGTCACTTCATCGATGACGAAAATTGGCCTCCTGTGCTGGTTTTCAATCTCCAGGCTCATAAACCAGCCCATGACAGAGCCCAAGTCCTTCTTTGGCTCTTCGTCTGGCAGATGGAGAAAACTCGATGCATCAACGTCTACGCCCCTAAACGTCAGCCCCAATCATCTTTAGAAGGGCCGATGACAACCAAGGAGACAAGAAGCCCAAGTTCACAGTCTTGTAATCTGTTTAGCAGCCAGCTCCAGAGTACTGAAGTCCGCAGCCCTCATGTAGATGTAGAAGAGCGGCAACTGGGCTTTGAGCAGACTTCCTAAGGTGCTTGAGACTTTCCAGAATTGTTTGGCCCTATGCAGTTGAGGCCTATTTCAATCTGTGAGAGCAGATTGGTCATTTCTTTGCGCCTGTCAAAGAAACCGTCATCGACGTCATCGCCATGTTAATAATTCGTGCATAATGTTTGGTTTAACATTTGAGGGTGGGGTTGCTCCC